AAACACGGAAATGGAAGTTTTGGTTGATGGTCTTGGGAGCCATGATGCTGCATCATGAGTGCATGTCTCGATTTCCATCAAAATGGAAACAATGAGTAGACCTGAAACGCGTTGCAACCTATGATACAACTTTTGAAAGACCCTATCCCCATACTCGACGCTCTTTCAAATTTGAAAAGGTTCATGAAGGAACAGATTCCAACTCTATCTCGCACCTTTCTTCTCTGGCTCGAGTTCAAGGATTCTAATGTCCAGACGCATGTCCGCCAGGATTGGTGGGCCAGTTCTCTCTCTAAATTTTTTGTGGGAATGATAGAAAAAACGCACAACAATAACAACAACTCTCTCGTTCAACATCATCATCATTCCACTGAAATTCAGATTCCGATTTTGTGTGGAGGTTGATTTCTAAAGATTTTGTTGTTGTTGCTCTTGTCCTGTATTTATTAATTTATTTAGTATAGCACAACAACATTGTGTTGTAGTATATTTATTATTATTCAGTTTTGTTTGTACATTACCGGTAAAGATGCAACAATCAGTCGTGATTGAAGAAAAGAAACAAGTTCAATTTGATCCGAACACTGCCAATAACACCGAAGCTGCTGATTTGATCATGCAGAATTCAGTAGCGAGAGATTTGAACCAAATCAGGGCCTTGTTTTTGAAATCTCTATTTCTACAATTTAGGCAATACAAGTATGTACAAACCATTTAGTCATTGCATGTTGTATTTATTATATGAATTTGATGAAAATTTTCTTGACATGTTTGGATTCACAATTTACATGTTATTTATTCAAACACACACCAATCCTAGAACAAACCTTTGTCAGTTGTTGTTCCCTGTCATGTGTTTGGTGTTCATTTTTATTTTACAAGCGGTTCTGAACACTCTCGTTCAAGGGTTTTTCAATGCTGCTGGTACGGATGGAGTTTTTAAAATCAATGCAACCTCTCTGGAATTGTCACAACTCATGTTACAAGCCAAACAAACAGAGTACAATCAACAACTAGTCCTCAATAATGATCCTAGCGCTACCAAAAACTTAACATTTTCTCCACCTGAAGCTATTTATTTGAGTTCAGACAAGATTGGTTATTTGGATGCCATTGGTATTGGCAGATTATCACCAAATATTAGTGAACCTTCGACTGGATTTCTCAAACTTGTCACTCCATTCTCTAGATCTAGTCCTTTCTATTTGGTCAATGGAACTTACAATTACACTGGATTTATTCAAATTCCTTACAGTGCCACTGGTCCATTCACAGATGAACGTTCGATGGATGCAATGATATTTGATCAAATGGGAGCTGTTGGTAAACCAGAACGAATGAATGCAGTTGGAGCTTATATTATTAGAGAATTATCGAATGGTCCTCAAAAAGGACGAATTAATTACACTGTAGAATATGATTATGATGAAAAAACTCGATTCTGTGGTGGATTTATGAAAAAATCTCCTTATTCCTTTGTGATTAAGAGCTGTAGAGATGTCCTTGGTGTTGGTCTTCAAAATTGGATGAACGATGCCTTCTTAAAGAACATGACAGGAAGTAATAGCTATAGAATCAAAACTAGCACTGCTCAAATGCCCTACGACACTTCAATTGCAACCTTCCAAATTGCAGATCTTTTAGGTTATTTCTTTTTCCCAATGATTTTGTGTTTGTTGTTACCTTCATTTAGTTTCACAGTCGTATTGGAAAAACAATTCAAACTGAGAGAAATGATGAAACTCATGGGCATGAAAATGAGATATTACTGGCTTGTGACTTATGTTTTCTTTTTCCTTTTGTATTGTATTTCAGCAGCATTATTTATTATTTTCAGCTTGATATTTGGCTTTAGATTTATTACTCAAACAAATCCATTGATTTTATGTAAGTTGTGGTTGATTTAGAAATTTCACAATACGAATACGTGTAATTCATTCGTTGAACAACTTTTTGTGGCCTCAAATATCCAGTTATTTTCTTTGTGTGTTGGGGAAGCACATTGGTGAGCTTTTCATTCTTACTATCTTCCTTTGTTGGAAAGACCATTGTGGCAACTATTATCAGTTACCTCATTGTGTTGATTGGTCCTATGGTTGGTGTCATTCTTGAGATGCAACTTTTGACAGACGCCCCCAATGCTCGTTATGGGCTACTGGTTGTCTTTCCATTACAAATTACACATTTCGTATATGCAGCATCGAGTTCATGCAATAATTTGGAATGCTTACGAAAGACATCAGATATTTTTGCCAACAAGTCTATTTTCTTTTCACTCATTTACATGGTGGGAATGTCAGTGATTTACTTTTTATTGAGCTTGTACTTTGATGCTGTTGTTCCTCAACCTTTTGGTGTTTCAAGACATCCACTATTTTTCCTCGAATGGATTTGGAAACCTTTCACCAAAAATCGAGTCAAGAAGAGTTCATCCAGTAAGAACAAGATTTTACCATGCACTTCTCCTTCTGATTCACAACCAGCACAAGATGATGAATTGGTTATGGATGCATCGAAAAATCGTATCGATGAAATGGATTCAGATGTTTTTGAAGAATATCGCAAAGTCAATCCTCCAAATCTCGACAAGAAACAAACTCTCGAACATTTGAAGCAGTTAAAGAATGAATATGGAGTGGTCTTTTATAATTTAGAAAAGACTTATGGAATGAATCGAGCAGTGAAAGGAACATGTTTGACTATTGGAAAGTCAGAATGTTTTGGATTATTGGGTATGAACGGTGCTGTAAGTTTTTTCATGAGATTTTGAAAATGTTAATGATCATTTCCTTGTTTTAACATTTCCATAACTATTTCTGATCCGTTTCACACAAATCCAATATAGGGTAAATCCACAACCATTTCCATGTTATCAGGAATGTTTGGTCCATCAGGTGGAACTGCCTTTGTCTATGGCAAAGATATTCGACATGACATGAATGACATTCATCAAATCATGGGTCTTACCGCTCAATTTGATATTCTCTATCCAGACTTGACTTGTGAAGAACATTTATTATTCTACAGTCGGTTGAAAGGTCTCAAATTGAAATACGAAAAAGAACACGTTCAAAGTTTATTGAGACAAGTTGGATTAGATAATGAAACATTGAAAACCAAATGGTCACCCAACTCGAGTGCACTTTCCGGAGGTATGAAACGAAGACTTTCCATTGCCATTTCATTGGTAGCAGATCCAAAAATTATCTTGTTGGATGAACCCACGACTGGACTTGACCCTCTCAGTAAGAGACATTTGTGGAATATTATTTTGAATCAAAAGAAGAATCGAACAGTGATTTTGACGACTCACTCCATGGAGGAAGCAGACGTCCTGTGTGACAGGATTACCATCATGTCGAAAGGATCATTTAAATGTTTAGGACCTGGTTTGCGATTGAAAAACAAATTTGGTGATGGATTTTTATTGAGTGTGAGTTATGGAGCAGAACAACAACAGCGTGCAGAGCAATATGTTTATGATTATGTTCCTGAGGCAGTGAAGGATTTAACATTATCAGGAACAACAATATTCAAAATTCCAAGTTTTTCTTCTAGTGGCTCTAAAAATACAAATTCACAACAAACGATTGAGACGAGCGTTGAGGACGTGGAATTAACACACCAAGCTACTCCAAAACAACAAATGGAAGCTCGTGAGACGAGATCTATTGCTGGATTATTCAAGCATATGGAAAGAGGCAAAGCAGAGAATGGTATTAAGGAATGGGCTCTCAACCAATGTTCCCTCGAACAAGTGTTTTTGAATATAGTTCAGAAAGATTCGGAGAAAAGGTCAGCCTCCGAGAAAGAGGCCAAATGTGCCCACAAGAGATCTACTGTTCTCATTCGACAATGCTTGTGTTAAAATATTCAAAGTATAAAATCTGTATTTATTTTCCTTATTCGAGTTCTTGAGTAACTCAACAATATTTATTCAAACAAATTCTGGACATCGGCACCCTCATCATCCTCAACTGTTACAGTTTTCTCTGCAGTAACAGCAAGTCCACCTTGAGAAGAAACATCCTCCATCATGCTGAAATTCAAAAAGTGATGAGGACGGTGGACTTCATGATAAAATTCTTTTGGTACGCCAAGTGTGACACCATATTCCATATTTTCAGTGTGACCATATCCCATAAAGTAGTAATTCCAAGATCCTTCCTCTGGTACCATGAAGAATCCCATGTACGACTCGGATAAAATTAATTGAACACCCTCATAAAATGCACCATGATTAAATCCTTGAGGTTCATCACTGAAAATATCCTTATTCTTACGTCCCCAGTCATAGCCTTCTGGTGTTAATTTGTGAGCTGTCAAGTTGCAGGATCCAGGAGTAATTTGGCATGTAATGGTGACAGTCTTTTCTCCATCCCATGTTTTATGTTGGCTCATAACCTTCGAGTGGAAAGTAACATCTTGAGGTGTCAAAGTAGTGTGACTTAGTGCAGATTCCTGTGTGTGAATCCAACCAAGTGGTTCGAGTGAATTCAAAATTTCATGCTCAGGAAGCTGCTTTGGAACGCTAATCGTCTTGTGAGTACCTAATTGAGGAACAAGCACAATGCAATGAATCTCTTTGACCTTTGGATTATCTTCGGGTGATTTTCCATAGACATAACCCATGACTTGTGTTCTTAAATCTGAAATTGCAATAAATTTCTTGAGAATGTTCATTGGTAACACATAATCGTAGGCATTTTCAGAAATATCCTCTTGTTCAATGAAAATACGTTTCGTTCTGATTTGGAGGTTTGGAGCAGAAATGGCTCTCACTCTCCAATCGGTCTTACTACTGAAGGTTTCTTGTTCATATGGAGTCGATGTAACAGTGATGATTTCTTCACCATAGGCGTTTGTTTTCTTGGTAGTGATGGTGGTAAGCTGAGTAGCTTCCTTAGCCTCCTTTTCAATTTCTGCAATTTGTTGTTGTTGAATGGATGGTGGGGCAATCTCCATACCGAGAATAATGTCACGAACCTCAGATTGAGTCAATGACGTAACTTTCACATTGTTCTTCTTTCCGTAATCGGACAAGATCAAATCCTTCAAAGCAAGTTCTACCTTCATCCATGTCTGATCATCCAAAGTAGGCCAGACATGGTGTGGCTGAGTGATAGTTGTCTTGTTTGGCTTCAAGATCATCTTGGTCTTTTCAGCATTGACGTTAAATGAACGTAATATCAAAATTAATCTGAGGAAGGCAGTGTAAGAATTTGTTGTTTCTCTCCAATCATCGAACAAGTTGAATACCAACATCTTTGGTTCATTTGCCTTAATAACCAAGTCATTAAATTTGTCAATCTTGAGAAGAGCTGAGAATGGTAAGTTGAGCTCGCTTCCCTTAATCACAATGTTAGGGAAGTCCAACAAGTGAACCTCAAGAGGATCTAACAAACCCTTTCTTGTAACAATAATTTGTTTTGGTTGTTCTTCAACTGGAAGAGAACGAATCAAGCTAGTAACTTCTTCTGCAGTCTTCCATTTTGCCAATTGACCCTTACGCTTCTGGCCAGCCCACACGCTTGTGTGAATAACTTTCAAATAAAATTGACCAGTCTTTGGATTGAAAATAAAGATGGCACCGTTGATTGGCTTGTTGGCAGAGTTACCTTCATGAGTTTGGTGGACAACAACACGATACACATTCGAGTCATCCACAAACCAAATGGTCTGATTACTGAACAACTCTCCATAATTTTGACTGTTCAAGTATGGTTCAGTTGGCTCTGAAGAGTACAATTGGAGACCCTTTCTGATACGTTCTCTGAGAACATAGAGAGCAGGATTGGCTTTCATAATTTTGGCCATGGCCTTACGAACGAGAGGCTTTGAACCTGGGAACCAATTTCCATATGCAGACATGTAATTGTAAGCAAGATCAATACCGATCAATACACCTGTGGGTGAAGGATAGAATGAAAGATTGTCGTTGGTGTAGTCCAAAAACTTGGTACGAGAATATCTTTCAATGTCATGAGAATCAAAGTCGCCCCATCTTAATTGAACGTCAACCCAGTATTTGTTTGAGCTAGTATCATAGGTGTCATTGGTTTCTGTCAAGAGTGATGGCTTGGTAATTTGCCACTTGTATGCTGCGAAAAGTAAAATGTCTGCACATGACGAATTCATCTTGTAAGATTTTCTTGGGTGAATGGTTTCTTTTTGGACGGTTTGAATTTCAAGAGTATCAACCTGTTGATCGAATACTTGACACAAGTCCATGACCACGCTTTCGTGAATCTTTTGCCACAAGTGAGCACGGAAGATTTGAATAAGTGAAATCTTGAGTGTTGGAATTTTACCGTGCATGAAAATACCTGTCAAATCCAATTGGACTTGGAAACCCACATAAACGTTGGCACGATTAATAGTTGGAGACCACCACAATGTAAATCTTCTGTTTGGAATTTGGTTCAAACCAGAACGCTGAGCGTTTGTGAGTTTCTTAAATTTCATACTCTCTTCGAAACCGCTTGCACGTTCCCAAAAGAGACCTTCCCAAGTCACAAAGTAAGTACCTTTGAACAAGGTATGTTCCAAAATACATTCAACACCTCCTAGAGATTGAATCATGTCTGTTCTGTAATTGTTCAATGACCACAATTTACCATCATGACGTGTTTGAGTCCACCAAAATGGATTTTGTTTCAAGACTTGATACGCTTTGAATTCATTTCTTACTCTCCAACCTTTATCGTAGGCAAGAATATGTCTATCTTTTTGGAACAAAGTGTTAATTCTTGGAATACCTCGATCCCATGATTCTTCCAAATCGCTGAGAGCAAGCTTTCTATTCTTTTCCATTGCATCCTTTCTTTTTGCAGCATACTCTGCCCAGACACGTTGCGAATCAATGAACTCTGATTGCCATGGTTGAATATATCTATAGAGATTAGGAATTAATTGACCTTCCTCATGGCTCATACCTGCACGGAAATGAGAAATTCCAGTATCTGTTTGCTTGGAATATCTAAGGTCTGATTGTGGGATAAGAATGTGACCCATAGAAAGCATACCCAAGCCTCCTAATTCTTTTGGAGTATAAAATACAACAGGAGGGAATCGAGAAGGCATCTTGGAGTTGAGGCCAATCTTGATTCTTGTTTGTATCTTGTTCTCACACTTGACCAGTAAATCAAGCATTTCTGGAGTGTTAATCACTGCCTCACGGAAATAGGTCATCAAACCAATGAGAGCAGTGTTCCACTTGTTAACAATCTTGGTAAATGTTGTGGAACCAGAAGCCATAAGAACCATTCTTATACGATTTTCAAATTTTCTCATAGATGCCTCGCTAACCTTGAGATATGCTTGAGCAGTTCTCTCCTTGGTAATTTCATTACGAAGATCCCAAACACCATCTTTTGAAGTTGTGAATTGTTGTGCTGGAGCACGAATCTTTGGTAAAATTCTAATTTCAAATCCAGACATGCTGAATAAAAGATTTGGATTATCCTTGCTGTAAACAGAAACAAACGAGTCTTGCCATTTCAGAGTGGTAAGAGTTTTTGGAAGTCTGCTCTTAATTTCCCAAAAGACTGCCCTTCCAAGATTTACATCGTGTTTCATCAAACGCATACGAGCATCTCTTGGCCAGCATTTCTTGTTATTGTAACCAACAACGTTTTCATTGTTTGGATCTGGATGCTCAGTGAGGTATTTTTGAATGAGAGAACGAGCTTCCTCATGAGTGAATTTGAACAGCATGTGGAACTCGTCAATATATCTCGAGTAGAGTCTAATAGGACTGTTTGTCTCAGTTTGTAAATCCTTAAAGGTCAAGAAAACATTCGGATCTCGCGGAGGACCAGCAATTTCACTTGCTCTATCCAATCCAAGTAATAGTAGATCCAATACTAAGCAATAGTATTGGGATATAAAGGAAGAGAATTGAAGACCTCGAATCAATCCATACATATTTACGTGACTCATATCCTTGAAGGTAATTGTGACATTGTTCTTTGCAGTCATATAGTCAGCCAAATTACTGTCAACAACAAGTCTCAATAAACGATTCAATAAAATTGGATCCAGCTTTTCCCAAATCTTGTCGAACTTGGATTGCATCATGACAACGCATTCACCATTTGATGTCTCCCAAATATCTGCCAAATTGTTGATAGCTTGGCACCATTTGTAGATGAGCAATGGTGGAGGCTCAGAATCAGAAGGTTTTACCCAGTTAGGGAAGAGGCCTCGCTTATCTGCCTCATACCACAAATACTGATCTAAATAAGCGTCAGTAATCTTTTCTACTGGTTCTACGTCATGAACAGGAATGAGAGAGCTGTATAAATCCATAAACTCAACGGAAACTTCCTTGAATGTTCGTTGCAAAAGCAAATGTTTCTTAATTCGTGTTAAGGCTTCGTGTGGATTGTTGTAGGCCTGTTCAATCAACCCTAATTCCTCTCGTTGTGAGTGATTTAATCTGCTTTTAACGCTGTATGCCTCTTTCAATCGTTCAAGAGCCAAAATTAACAACTTGGTATCATGTTTGTAAGAGAGAGGAGGGAATGGAATTGGAGCAAACTTTCTACTTTCGAGCCAGTGTACAGTGGTTGTATAAATTGCAACAGCTTCTTCAGATGTAACATATGGACCATCCTTCATGTAATTGTGTTGCCTCTCTTGCTCCTCCTTGAGATAGAGACGAGTGAGTCTTCCTAGGTTTTTCTTACAAACTGTTTTATCAACAGTGACTCCTCTCTTAATACGTTCTCTGTTGTAGTGAGTAACATTAGTCCACCAATCTGCCTTAGATTTTACATATCTCAGGATCATGTTTTCAATTGGTCCAGGAAGTCCAGGAACCTTCCAAGGAATGTTTGCCTTCCAACAACGCCAAGCCTCGCTCAAATGTTGCAAAACAACTCTGGCCTTGTTCTCTCTGATACCTTCAGGCATCATATCCAAAATATCGTGAAGTACAGCAGCTCTCAGTTCCAAATCAAAGTGGCTTTCTACACGTTGTTTGGTAACAGATTTGGCAGTACCCTTGTTTTGTCTACCTTCAAATTGTTTAGCAAGTAAGTTTCCAAGCCATCTTTCGAGCAATGGTACGATACCTCGCAAGAAGAACAGCCACACTCTCCAAGCTGGAGCCCAAAATCCACAGCCAGGACCTTTGCCTACAGCTCCAGCATTAAATCTGTAATAAATCAAATGTTTCAAATCTTTACACATTCTAATCTGTCTCATTAGTCTGTATTTGTAACGATACATTCCGGTAAGTTGGCCAACATGTGTGAAAATGTAATGTAAACCGTCAGCCAGTTGATAAGCTTCCACATTTCCCATTCTATATTGAACATGAGAATCAACGACTAGTTTTGTTAATCTCAAAATTTCACGACACAAGTGGAATGCGTTACCGAATCTAGATTTCTTACGTTCCTTTGTTGTCAGAGTTTTGATTGGCTTCAAATTGAAATTATAGTCCAAGTGAAGATAGTTCAAATTCTTTCTGTGAATCAATAAGTTGAGCATGTTAAACCCTTGCTTAACAACTTGTAATCCAGCTTCTACCCAATCAATCTTGGTGGTCTTAAAGAATTTAGTGTTTTTGAGAGCTCTAAAGAGATTTCTTTTTGTTTGTGCTTTGGATGGTTGATGATGTAACTCGTTCAATACAAAACATTTCAATAATTTTTGGTAGCTAACTCGTACTTTGACAGGATTTTCACCTTCTGGGTGTTCTCTGTACCAATTCTTTACGAGAGGAATATCTTGAGCTCTTCTCATTCTTCCTGAACGCTTACAGAAAGGTCTTGGAGCCCAATATAAATCAATTCCTTGTGTTGTGTATGGAGTCCATAAAGGTTCATCCTCAAGCAAAGGATTTACGTCATCTGGAAGAGCAAAAACATCACTCTCTCCACCAATATCTTCATATTCAAAATAGTCATGCTCCATGTTGAGTTGTGTTTTGTAAGAAGGAATGGTGTTAAGAGAAGGATGGAATTCGAAAGCGTCAGCGTCAGGATCCTCGGACTTGTTGAATGCAAGCAAAGGATATCGATAATGAGATAATTCAACCTTTCTTGGACGATCATTGTAGAGATGTGGAAATGCAACCTTATACTCAGTCCTAATTTTTTGTCGAATAATGATTTTGTGAATGTCATTAAATTCATTCCAATCTTCGTCCTCTCCTTCGACATCTCTGAAAAGTGGTTCAAATTTTGGTCCACCTGGAATTGCCATATTCAAAGCTTTGCTTGTTTCAAATGATTCCTTATCGAATAAATAAAAATAGTTTGGATCTACAATGTCACTGAGTAATCTCTCAGACAATCTGTATAATGTAGTCATGGTTGGAAGATTCAATCTCCATGTTTTGTAACTAGATCCGTTCACCGATCGACTATCATTCATGAGTGGTTTATGTTGATAGAACCAGTCAATGACGGCTGCATCTTCGTCTGGATCCAGGTTCATTCGGATAGCGTCTTGCGGTTCAACTCCTAGAATATTTCCACCGTAATCAATTGGAGGCTCCTCATCGTCAAATGGAGGAAATCTCATTCTTCTAAAGTGCTTTCTGTCCTTCTTTTCTCGTCTCATCAAAATCCACATTGTGGCCCACTGCGCCAAATACACTGGTTCAATCACACGAGGAATTTCATTCACAAATGTGATGGCACCAGTAACATGATACAACACTTCAACTTCACGTGTTTGTTCCCAAGGCATTGGCATATTTTCCAACAACTTGAGCACTGCATGAGGAATGTATTTCAAAGCACCCAAGTACACTCGCTTATCACGTCTAAATCTTCTATTGGACATGTCTCCGTGCTCTTTGATAATTTCTCGAAGTACTTCGGGAGGTTCGATCTTGTTCAGGTTCTTGTTCTTTGAAAGACCTCCGCCGCCTGCAGCCTTACCACTCACATTCTTGAATCGTCTCTTGTTGAATTTAAGCCATGCCTTTGCTTTCTCTTCGAGTTGTTGTTGAGAAGTTGTTGGTGTTGGCATTGCTGTTCCGCCCATAGCTCCTGGAGGTTTGATACCTGGTGGAAGTTTAATGCCAGGAGGCAATCGCACGGATGATGATGAATTGTTAGGTGCTGCTGAATTGTTATTGTAGCTGAAAGGGTTTAAATCTCTATCATCGTCTTCAATATCGGCATTATTCATCATGGATGATGAGGAGGAAAGTGGCTCTCCATCTTCAATGTATACTCCATCTTCCCCTTCATCATCATCGCCGAACATGTTAATCTTGTTTGGTTTCATGGTTGATCTTTTTTTGTGGGTAAAAATGTTTAAAATCTACACACAAACAACAATTTCTTGATCCGAAAACTAAACAAATTGTTCACTCTAAACCAGCTGTTGTTGATGAGAATGATCAAGATGAATAGTGTTGTTGGAGTAGCAAAGAATTTTTTTTAAAAAAGATCGATTTTTTCATGAATCTTTTTTAAAAAAAATTCTTTGCTACTCATGAAATGAAAGCTGTTCCTCAACAATTATGACCAGAACATCTTGATTTCCCTTTAATATTCCAATTTTCTATTGGAAAGATTATCCTCTCCATCTAATTTTGTTGTTAGGAATTGGATGTCATGCTTTCAGTTAGAAGAAGAAAAAAATGAGCGCGAACGAGGAACAGGAGGAACCACAGCCTTTGATGAACAACAACACAACCCATCACGGAAGCAGTTTGGATCATCAACAGCTCGCACCCATACAACCAAACTCGCCCTCTCAGGCGATTTCTTCGTCCGTATCTTCCGCTGAAATTATGGTTACTGATCATGACATCGGAAGTAGCAGGGAGGGTGCTGTTGTTGGAACTAGTTCATCAGCATCACCGTCAACATTGACTATATTACCACAGCAACTACAACACTCGGAACAGTTGGCTCGCAACACAACGGTCAATACATTAGATTCCTCACAACACCCAATGCTGACTATTTCTACTTCTTCAACCGATAGCCAACATCATTCCCACTCAGATTCGAATCAGAAAAACATTTCTTCCATATCTTTTCTTGCAAAACATTTTAAAAGCTTTTCAAATAATGACATCATTCACTTTTTAAAGAAGTTACCACATCATGGCCATTCTGATTCAGATCGATCTCAAAATACAAGTTTACAATCTGCTCAAGTTAAAACAGGAAAGGAACATTCACCAAAATCTCCAAAGATTCCAAAGGCAAATCCAACATCTCCTGATGTGACACTCGATTCTAACAACAACTATGATGAGTCTCACACTTTGAAAAAGAATGTCATATCCGATGGACATCTTTCAATTTCAAGCAGTTTACTACAGCAGACATCAAATACCTCTCAATCAACACCGGAAAAAGATCATCGATCAAAAACAAGTACTAGCACGAGCTCAACAACCAAAACTCCTACCTCAAATATTTATTCATCTTCATCAGAGGACGAAGGAGGCGGCAATAGGGAGAGTAAAATTAGAAGGAGACGTAGCTCCTCGTCTCGAATGACCTCTCCCAATTTGTCACAAACAGTAGAAGTGAAAATCAAAAAAATAGGTTTAAAGACTCTCTATAACATGATGGTCCTCCAACCTAGTATTACTGACAAGGTTCTCCCACTTTTATTAATTGACGTTCGATCCTCTGAAAAAGATTTCATCATTTCTCCTCTTTCTCAAACTTCACCAAGCCACCCCAAAGCCTCTTCTTCCCACGGATTAACTATTTCTGAAATGAATAATATTTTGTCATCTCAAATTGAGAACGAAATATCACGACCAAGACATGTTTCATGCTCATCTGAGCAGCTTCATAACAATTATGTAAATATATCCGTCCCATCTCCACCGTCAGATGAACATAGCAATGCAGGCTACCTTCCCACCACTTCGACTACCACTCGGCCAAGGACTTTAAGCAACTCGTCTGCTGTGCCTGTGTTAAATTTACATTCTATGAGTCATAGCAGTCACAGCGGCAGCCAAGAGAGTTTAGCAAGCCCAAAAACTTTTCATCAGTTAAGCCCGAGATCCTCCTCTCTAGGACTTTCTCAACACATTCAATGGTCCATTCATTTTTATTTACCAGATTATATCATTGAACACATTCCTGTGGATGAACTGAACAAAGATAACGTTTTGAGCATTATTCACATGATAGAAACGACCAATACATGTATTGAAAAAGAACTATATAGAACAAGATTTGCCTGGCGAAAAATGTCAAATGTTGTCGTTATTGGAGGATCTGCAAGAGATGAAGCACGTGTTAAATGGCTGCTTCGAGTTTTGCAATTGGAGGGCAAATCTTACAACCTGTATACATTACATTATCCTTTAAATTATGGCCACTTTGAGGCAAAATATCCATTTTCGATCACCTCGTTCGATTTTGTAGAGTTTTTATTACCAAGTCATATTTACAAGAATATTTATTTATCTGGTTATAGAGTACTTTCTCAAGAACGAGCTATTGATGTATTATTATCAAAGAGAATTAATATTAGAAATGTTTTGAACTGTGCCAAGGAATGCAAATGTGTCATTCCTGATAAGCTTATTTGCAACACGAATGATCCCTTAGAAAAAACGCCACAAAAGTTTTCATATTTACACATCCGCCTAGACGATCATGATCCCGTATTTTGCTACTTTACAGCTGAACAAATGAAAGAGAGCGTCATGTTCATTAACAGAGCAGCTAAAAACAATGAGAATATTTTAATTCATTGTCAAGAAGGCAGAAGTCGCTCCGTAACTCTCATCACACTCTTTCTCATGATTTGTGTTGGATGGCGCGTTTATAACACTCTTGATTTTATCAAAACGCATAGACCAAATATGAGTGTACATGCTACCTATGTGAAGCAATTACGAGCCATTGAGGAATATTTATTGGACAAGATTGAAAAAATCAAATACGACAACAGTAACAATAGCGATGAATCCATTTTTGATATTGAGGGAATTGTCAAAGTCGAGAGTGGGCAACACATTAGTGAAAGTGATGGAGAACAATCTACAACGACTGCACCAGGTACATTATTGAAATCTCAAAATTCCATGGCCTCCATGCTTGAATATTCTTCCACCGATGATTCTACAAATCCAAATCATTCAAACCTTTCATCTCCTGGAGGAAATCGAAAATCCAGTCGAAAATTTTCTGAAAAGATGAATGTGGCTCTCCTTTTCACTCGGATGGGATTGAAATCCACTCTTTCTTCATCGTCACCAACGCCACAACAAGATTCTCCAAACACAGTGATAGAATCACCAGAATTTTGCTCTGACGAAGACATTCTCGAACAATTACTCGATGAAATTGGAGAGAATGTTGTGAATCCCTTCATTAAGGAATTATTAGAAACATCCTCAACTTGTTGTGTCACAACCACCACAACCACCTCTCCTTCAACAAATTCCTCACAACACCAATAATTTAAAAACATACATGACTCATCCAATCATTAAATTAGAGAATACACTATCAAATGTTCATCATCACAGAACAACACACTCGCACACACGAAACTGGAAATTCAATGATTTGGTTCATTCACCCGTTGCAGCGAATCTCTTCATTGATCAACTGTCATAATTTACCATAATCATCATCACCCGTGTACAACACAAAAAAATGTCTCCACTGCCATCATCATCCTTCAATCTCTTTTCCATGTTGGTGGCAAAACCATCACCCCAACAACAACAACGAAACTATTTCCCCTCCAACAGAATGACCCGATCGTCGTCATCGTCATCATCATTCATTTTCTTATGTGCTTCCTTTTTATTTTTATTCTTCCTGTTGAATCATTCCGTAATGGTCGAATCACTCACCTTTTCGAAACGATTTCTCGGAAACAATTGCACGACACAGACCTACCTTCGTGATTGCGGTGAAGAATTAATTTGTGATCCTCTCATCGGAAAATGTACTTTTTGCACCAATACGACACAATGTACTTCCATGTTTGGTTCGATGAATCAATGTAGAAGATCAATTTTTGGAAATGATTTTGCAAATTATCAAAATAATTATGTGACACCACAAGGATCCAATGTTCAAGCAGGAATTTGTTATCATAAGGATTTGTTTCCAAGATTTTCGTATTTGGATGCCATTTCGACGGTATTTTCCTTTTTGGGAAGTGTGTTGGCTTCTGTGGCTGGAATTGGAGGAGGAGGTGTCATTGTTCCATTGTTGGAAGCAGCTGGTCAATTTCCACCTCAATTGGCTGTACCCATTTCAAAAACTATGATATTTGGTGCTGGTAAGTGTTTGTGTTGTCACTTGTCATTCACGAGAAATGAATTCAAAACACCAATATTTCTAATTTTCAGCCATTTCTAATTTCATTGCACTTTCATTGAAAAGACATCCACACGCTGATCGACCTCTCATCAATTACGATGTCACACTTTTATTACAACCCATGTCCTTAATTGGTGTCTTGGTTGGCGTTCTTTTCAATACCATGTTTCCCGCATGGCTCATGGTTTTATTAAGTGCCATTATTTTAACCATCATGACCATTACGACCACAATTCGAGCCGTTCAAATGTGGAAATCCGAATCTGCCTCTCGATCGAATCATTTATCGAATCATCCATCTTCTTCAGATGCACATTATACTCAAATCAATGAAACAGAATCTCCTCAATCTGATTCAGAATCAGAGACAACCTTTGACAGACCTAAAAATTCCACACCTCAACCCGGAAATTCCAATATTTTAGAAACTTCTTTATTGGATGAAGATCAATTGGAAAAAATTGAACAAGAAAAAATCGAACAAGAAGAAAAACAACGTTACGCTCGAAAATTGATTCATGAAGAAAAAGGAACTCCTTTCATGAAACTTTTCATTCTAGTTTTGTGTTGGATTATTGTATTTGCATTAACAATTATGAGAGGTGGACATGGAGCTCCCAGTGTGTTACAAATTCCATATTGTTCTCCGTGGTATTGGGTTTTGTTTTCACTCATGTTTCCAATTATGATTTTTATTACCATTTTAGTGGCTGTTTATTTATTGAAGAAACATCAAGAACGTCAAGCATTGGTTGGAAGTGGATATAAATTTGTTCAGGGAGATATTCGATACACATTGTGGACAGTGAGTGCATATCCATTCTTTGCTGGATTTTCTGGATTAGTGGCAGGTTTATTGGGAGTGGGAGGAGGAATGATTAAGGGTCCATTGTTGTTGGCATTGGGTGTGGATCCATTGGTTGCCTCGGCAACGGCATCATTTATGATTTTGTTTACAGCTTCAATTTCGTCGATTCAGTTTGTAATTTTGGGAACATTGCCTCTTGATTATGGGTTGTGGTTCTTTGTGTTTGGATTGTTGGCTGGAATGGTTGGACAGATTTTGTTGCATTTTGTGTTTGCAAAGAAACGAAAATCATTGGTGGTGTTTTGTGTGGCTTTGATTATTTTCATTTCAACATTGTGTATGACTGGTTTTGGAATTTATAATGCAGTGATTAGATTACAGGTAAGTGGACTATGTTCACTATGTGTTTCAATATTATGATCTCACACAACAATTTTCATACATGAAATTCTATTACCTGGGCTGATGCAACTTTATATTTCATGTTATTATCATTCAAAATTTTTTATGGATTGATAGAACAACATGTATATGGGCTTCCACTCACCATGTTAAACTTGTGAATATAAATCTTCTATTATTTATTTTTTGATTTCTCTTCAATTATTTTGGCTTTTTCATCCTGTTCCTTCTTCCAGTTATTGTACAATACTTCGATTTTTTCAAATTCAGATTTGATTTCCTTATTGTCAGGTTCAAATTGTTGAGCTCGCCTAATGTCAAGGAATGCTCTTTCGTATTCTTCCATCTCCTTGTAAGCAGCAGCTCTCTTCAAATAGAGTTTGGTTTGTAGTTTTGGAGTCAGTTTTGGATTGGTTGGAAATTCAGGTTTCGTCTTGTTTGTTTCCTTGTCCATTCCAGCTTCTTCCTCCTTCAATATTTCTGTCACTTTCTTTTCATCTTCATCAGATAACACGGAAAGAGCCAGATTGCAATCCTTGACACATTTCACATAATCACCCAACTTGAAATAGCATTGAGCTCTGTTCGAATAATACACAGGATTCGTCTTATCGAGTTGAATGGCAAGTGTGTACGAATGAATCGCAGAAGCATAGTCTTGATTTAAATAAAAATTGTTAGCAGTGTTTTTGAGCCAATCTCCTTGAAGTTGTGAAGTGAGTTCCTTATTGACTCGTTCCAAGTCTGTCATAATGTCGTCATCTTCAGGAGCCATTCTCGAAGCTTGTTCATAATCCTTGTAAGATCTTTGAAAATCACCCAATTTGAAGTAACACGTTCCTCTTCGAGTATATGATTTCAGAATGAGAGATGCACTTTGTTTTCGTTCAGTTTCTCCCGCTGCTTTGGAATGAATATTTTCTAAAATGTAGGTACAGTCTTCAATGCAATTGGAAAATTTGTTCAATTGAAGATAGCAGGCAGCTCGATTGCTGTATGCTCTAAAAAAGAATGGTTTGAGATTGATGGCATTCGTGTAGCATGAGACGGCTTTCTCAAATCGTTTCTCAAAATATTCAGCATCTCCCTCTTCCTTCAATAATTCTGCCTTGTCTTTGATCGTGGAATTGTTATCAGACAAAAGATTCTCGAGATGCTTAATAATTTTTTGACAATCCAATGTAGCTTCCAATTTGTAAGCTAAATTGGCATCTTCTAACGCTTTTTTGAAATCTCCAATTTCTTGGTAGCTCTTGGCTCGAGTCATAAGTGCGAGAGCAATATATTTATCTTCCACATCCATCTCATGTTTGGCCTCTGTTTGTAAGAACTGAGTGCAATCTTCAATAGCTTTGAGATATTCTTGACGCTCAAAGTAACATGAAGCTCTCTTTGATAAGCAAGAAATGGCGTTGGAATCCATTGACAATGCTTCTGTGTAGGCACTAATTGCTGAAGAGAAGTTTTGCTTTTTCATAAATTTGTCACCTCGCTCAATGACCCAAACAACTGAAACACCAAACAATCAAGTCAATGAAGTGAATTGGAAATACTTACCACTATCCTCAAATTCAGACTTTTTGTTCTTTCGTTTCCAAATTTCAAATTTCTTTAAAGTTTCACTATCCTTGTCCTCTCGTGCTGGAGTTCGCAATGCTCTTGGAGTAAATGAGAGCTTAATTGTTGAAGTTTCTGTACCTCGAACTGGAGCTTCACATCTTTCGTATGCAGCTGCTTTTGAATCGACGGCAACATCTTCTTCATGATCGTCTGTGACATCTTCAATGATGGGTTGTGTACGGTGTTGTGGTAATGAGACTATTTGTTGTGCACTCGTATCCTTGTCATTCACATCTGACACTATGGTTTCTTTCTTCTTAAATTCTTGCAATTCAACAGCTGCTTGATCTCTTTCGATTTGTTTTTTTCGTTCAATTTCCTCCCGTTTTTGCTTCTCATCCTCCCAATGTTTTTCCAATAACCGTTTTTCTTCTTTCAACTTTTCTTTTTTCTTTTCTTCTCGTTCTTGTTCCTCAATTTTTTGAAGTCTTTCCATGGACTCTACTCTTCGCTTCTCAATCATTTCCTTCGTATTGTTGTCATCAATGATTCTCACTGCTGTCTCCCAACGTTTTCGCTCCACCTTTCTAAATTGCAACACCAAATCGTGACCCTCAATTTTGTGTTGTGCTCTAGCAGAAGCATCCAACACAATTTCCTCTTTCAAATCCAACTCCAAAAAGTGATGAGGAGGGCAATTGACTTTTACATAACAATCGGCAACAGTGACACTCATTTGACTCCGAGTGGCACCCTTCAAATGAATTCGGATGACCACCAACTCATCGGTTTCATCAAAACTATATGGTAATGTAATGGGCATCTTGTATTACAGTTTAGAAAAAAGTGAACGTCTTTTACACTCCACGAATCAATCGTTCCGAAATTCGTTTGTGGTCTTGAAATACAAATCGACCTATTTTTTTTGTAGTTTGCACGTTTCGAAAATGTTCCCGCCTTTGTCTCCTCAAATACAATAGAAAAAATTGAAACTTGTACAACAACGATCGTCTTCATCATTGTCATCCAAGTGTACAGTGGTCTGATCAAAAAAGGTTGGAGCTCTCTTAAAATTCAGTATATCGAACACTACTATTGGCATTTCTCAGTACTCGATTCGTTGTTGAAATTGAGATTGTTCCGAAGGTGATTCGTTGAATGATTGGTTGGACTGCCAAATCCGAATAGAATCCGTATCGAGAGAATAGACTTGACCATGCCAACATATTCGGATACATCTTCGGACGCAGTTGCTTATGATTTGGATGAGTTGATGGACGAGATTGAGGAAATTATTGAGAGACCCTCAAGTCAGCCAACTCCTCCTCAAAGAGCAGTGACAACAAAAATTGAGGAAATCTCACGAAATGTTTCATCTTCTCCAATAATCAGTACTGTCACTCCATCCCATAGAAATAGTAAGAATAATTTGTTTTCCAATTTGAATAATAATGTCAATTATCCACCAGCCCAGGCTCAACCTCTCACACGAGAGTCTTCATTTAAGAGACCAATGCATCTGAGTCCATTTTCTCAACATTCTCCGACCAATAGGAAAAGTTCAGACCATCACGAGCTAGATAAGATCATGAATGAGTTATTGGAGGAACCTGTATCACCTCTTGTGAAGAAAAAGAATTCATTCTCCAAAGTTAATGCTTTTAAGGTTCTTTCTCCAAGCAATGTAGGAAATCATCAGGCACCCCAAAAGATCAGCTCCTCAGCTTTGACAACACCTCACAACAATATGGGAAATTACCATACAACGTTACATCATGAACCTGTTGTGCAAACTCCAAGAAAATGCTCAACAGTTTTCATTGGAAACCACTCGGATAGTTTAGGAATCAATTCGTTCACGACTTTTAAGCGATGCAACGACTTGAGATGCATGAAATGCGATTTCAAAGTCGCCATCTTTGATGGAAAGAAATGGAAACCCGATGTGAACTATCTATTTTTCAGAAACAATTATCCAGATACTGTGAAAAAAGGGTTTGAAGAAAAGGACTTTCCTGATTTTTCCAGCTATTGTTGTCAATGTACCTGGATTTCTGTGAACGAGAGAACGAATTTGAAAAACTTGCCCTCAATTAACTGGTATTGTGGAGGTCATAAGTAACAATCCTTAACGGTTGTGAGATATTTGGAGTAATCATGTTCTCAATGAACTAGAGGAAACAGAATTTCAACAGTACGAGAGTAGATGTGGTTATTAAGCATACAAGAGAACAAATGATCTCTTTAATCTGCCCATTGGAAGAATTTTGGACAATCACCATCCTTGTTGGGGCACTTCCAGAATTGCCTTCCTTGATTATCACCAGCCTTCTTACATACAAGTTTGATTGCAAGAGCTCCACAATGAGGACAATTTACCTTGTCCTCACTTCCGCTTTGATTTGAATTACCACGTTGAATGTGTTGAGGAGCTTTAGAAGCATTGACAGATGCACCTGACCTGTTGTAGGTGTTGCTTGGTGATCCTGTCGAAGAGGGCATTGATGAATGTCCAGAGGGTGACCCACTCCCAAAGTCCCTACCAGTTCTTTTGCCAAGCATTTTGTCAAGGGTAATTTGGTTACCTGTGTTTGATGGGCTTTTTCTCAGGGTAGTTGCTGTACGTGATGTTGTTGCATGAGGAGAGGTTCTTGTCTGCGAGGTAGGTGCTGCTCTGGATCTTCCTGAGGTGGTGTTATTGTAGATGGCAACAGAGCCATGTTCGTTATTGGAATCGTTCTGATTAAGAGCACTAAGACTGATATTAAAAATCTCGTTAAAATCACTGTCACAAAAAACACATGTCACATGTTCTGACTGAATATGAGAAGGAAGAAATGTACCATCTCTGGAAATTTTGAACTTGGTTTTGAATACAGAATCTGACCTTGTACTGCAGTTCAAACACTTCTCAGAAGTTGCTTCAACTCCTGTAATGGATTTGGGCATCCAAACAGAAGTTCTGCATGCTGGAAACCCTTTGCATCCAATATAGAAATTTCCTTCTTTCGTTTGTTTGACTACCATGTTCTTGGAGCATTTTGGACAGTTTCTTACAAATGCCTCTTTCTTCCTTGAGTATTTACAATCTTGAAAAGTACAGTTGTAACATCGAAATCCATTGACATAAGTTTCTGCCCCTGCATTCTCTAAATCCGGTGGATTGTTAAAGCAATTTGGGCAGATGTTGTAATTGCTTTTCTGGGTCGTGACGTTCAGTACTTGGAAGTTACAGAGCGGACACTGATCTGAAATGCTCTCATATTCACACTTACTTGGCAAATTGTATGCCTCTTTACAATTTTTACAAAATAAAAAGCGATGTCCATCTTGTTCCTTCAAATCCATGCTGTTCCCACAGCCACACATTGAGAAAGATCTCACCAAGACCTTACTTTGACCCGATTCTCCGATGGGTTTGAAGTGTTGTTGAACAGCCTTGTCCAATAAATGGGCTGATTTACAAATTTGCATGAATACATGTTTGTACATGGCCAAGCTTTGATTAATGACGGCATCTTTGGTGATTTGACCTTGACTGATGCACACCATATCCTTTTCCATTTTTGCTCGCAGATTAGGTGTTGACAGTTCATATCCAATTAGATCATAGCCCTGTAAAAGTGCTATACCTAAATTACTTGCTTCAAATCGGTTGCCTCTCTTGATCACATATCCTCTGTCTTGAATGGTTTTGATATGTTGAGCTACCGTAGCATCAGTTCCAATGCCATTAGAATCCATGGCCGAAATGAGATCTGATTCAGAAAGGTGTGGTGGCGGTCTTGTTTCGCCTTCATCCATCAGGAGTGAAGTGGGAACAAATTGTTGATTTTGTTGAAATACTGGAATGCTCTTGTCTGACCATTTGTCATACTTCCAAATCTCGAGATAATTCTTTTGTTCAACCATCAATCCAGAGCAGGTAAACTCTTCGTTAGCAACGACAATATGAACCTTAGTTTCTGATCCCAATGCATCTTGAGAGCAACATGCAAGAAAATGTCTTGATATTAACTCGTACAAATCTTGTTCTTTCTGATCGGGAGCCTGACAAGATCCTTTGAGAGGGTGAATAGGAGGGTGAGCCTTGTCGTCTTGTTTGCCACTGGTTGGTTTTCGATAACCTCCGTTCAGCAAGTCTGCTGCATATTGCCCCCAAATTGGATTTGAAGAGTGTTCCTGAATTAAATTTTTCAAATCGTCATCTGAAAATTGATTATAATTATTTGTCTCTGTTCTAGGATAACTGATGAATCCCTTATTGTACAATGACTCTGCTACCTTCATTGTGTCATGTGAGCTCATTCTCAGCTTTTGAGAAGCCAATTTTTGGAGTTCAATTGTGTTGAGAGGTATTGGTCGTTGTTTGGTTCTTCTCTTTTTGTCTACTCGAGTGACTGTTGCTGTTGGATTTTCAACACACAACTCGTACAGTATAAGACAGGACAAGTGATCGAACAATCGCCCTCTCTTCCACAGAAATTGCGCTTTTCCCTCTTCTCCCATGTCATGACAGCAATTTAAGGTCCAAAATTTTTCGCTTTCGAAATTCTTGATAAGTAAATCTCTCTTGACCACAAACCCAAGAGTAGGAAATTGGCACGGTCCATAACTGATGACATCTCCTGGTAAACCGTGAAACTTTTTTTGTAGCCTCATTGATTGAAATCGAGTAAAACTTGCTCCAATTCTCAAATCCAACTCTTGTCGAGCATCCACAGCCATACTGTCCAAAATGTTTGGCCTTTCCAAAGTTCTAATTGCCCTATTAATTGCTGCTGGCGTAAATTCTGAAAATCTAGCTCTTAAAATTGTATTGTTGTCAATAGATAGAGCTCTATTCACTCGTGTGCAAACATCAACAACCTCGAATGCAATATTTTCTCCTTCTCTATCACAATCTAGCCATAATATTAATTTACTTGCATTTCTGGCTTCATTTTCAAGGTTCTTTTCAATATCTGTATGTTTCTCTGGAACAGTACGTATCACTGGTGTTGAAACATCCATCAAAACCATCGGATCACAAGAAGCCCATGATCGGAATTTACCTTCGAAATCCAACTCCATCAAATGGCCCAACACCGAGGTAATGCACATGGTTACTACTTGTCCGTTCATCCTATAATCAAACTCAAAGACTTTGTTAAACTTGGATTTTCCTTCTCTCTTTTTGAATTTGTTTCCGCTCAAAATTGTTGCGATTTGTTTGGCTGCTTCAGGCTTTTCAGCCACCCCCAGCACTTTGGGCTTTGGCGTCATTTTTTTTATGAATTTAGTCGTCCAAAAACTGGAAGTCGTAAATCTTGAAACGAATCATTATTAACTTGTGATGATCCCTTTTTCTTGTTAGCACTTCATAACAGATCTGGGAATTAACTGATTAGAACAGGGTCACATCTCTCAATACAGCCCGCAGTACTTGGATGCCAAGGATTGAAAGCCATTGTTTTGTAAAGTCCTAAAAAAATAATGCTTCGTGGATCTGCTGCTACCGCCTACCGTTTTCTCTCTGAAGTTGTTGCTCTCAACAAGAACTACTTTCCAAAGTTTTTGTTCCCATCGTCTATTACGAGCACTGTAGAGACTCAGAAAGTTGCTGAGAAGAGAGGTGAATTCAATGTGTATGAAGCGTAAGTATTCTGGTGGAGTTGCTGAGAAGAGAGTAACTTACCGACTCGGACTGAAAATTGATGATAATATGATGAATTGGAAAATTGATGTTTCAATTATTTGGATGATGATATTTAATACTGGTTCTTTCTGAAAAATCCCCTTCTACAAACACGCTCTCGGATATAATTTTGTTGGATTAAACACTTTAATTCATCGTCATCGCTACAATCATAACCACAACAACAACAACCGTATGATTTGGGAATACACCGTACAATATTCGTGTATGCACTCTCCCACATATTCATTGTCATCCTTTGGAACATGTGTATGATTACATCTTCATATGAACACTAACAACAACGTTGGTTCCACTCTTAAACACACTCATCAACCACAACAGCTACCCAATTCAAAACCCATGGACCAAGTATACAGAAATTCCATACTCTGACCTTTCACTCTGGGAAAAGGTTGACCGTTTCATCACAATCCAATACAGAAAGTCGATGCGTTATGAAACTTTTGGTTTATTATATGATGACATTCTCAATGATGAAGATCCAGTCGTTATTGAGGCCCTCAACAGATTACCAGAGGAAGTTCGTCGTGCTCGTGAAAAACGTCTTGCTCGTGCCTTCGACTTGTCTGTAAATCAAAAACGTCTTCCAAAAGAACAATGGACAAAGGTTGAGGATGATGTGGCATACTTGCGTCCTTATATTTTGTGGGTTCGTGCAGAAATGGAAGAATTTGATGCTGAAACCTTGAACAAGACTGATTTCATTCCATTCTTCAGTGTCAGTGCTGAGGACTATGAAACTGGAAAGGTCTTTAAAAAGAGATATATTGATTAAATATCCAATCGGAATAGGGACATATCAAACAAACACTTTTGGATTAATTTTACTGCAATAATAACTTTCTAAATAAAACACTAAAATTCATTAAATTCTTATCACCTGGTGAAATGGCATGTTTCAAAACATTGCTTGTAAATTTTAACTTGTGAATCATTTATTGTAATTTTGTTGCATGGCAGAGCTTAACAAAGGCCCAATAGATTCCACATTATTAGTATTTACAAATACATTGCTCCATTCTCTTCAATGGTTTTCCACATAAAATTATCTTGATTACAAATAAAACCTCTCTTCTCATTGAGCTTTAAAAACTTGGTTCCCACTTTCATAAAGTGTTTGGCTCGATCTTTCAATATAGACTTGATAATGGGCTTGGGAATATTTCCTTTCAAATCCATATAAAACATTTGAGAATATTGTGTGGTCTTGTCATCAATTTCCTTAAAGGCCCATCCACCAAATGAAAACGCTCGCACTACATTCTTTTCAGGTTTTTTCGCCTTCTCCGATAAACAACTCTTCTTTCCCATCAGATACGTTTTCGTTCCGAGATCATACAATCCACTCGACGATACAATAAAATCTCGAGGACTGAAGGGCCACACCAATTTATAAATTTCCTGAGTCAGAGAAGTTGCCAATAGAATGGAAGTTGCATTTACATGACTTGTTGTGCTTGTCGTGGTTGTGCTTGTGGTAGAGGTCGATGGATGATTCAATGTATGAGAAGGACTCGACAATAAGGATGGAGAATTACTTGTTGTAGGTGAAGAAGGAGTGGATGAATGTTGAGATTGTTGAGGTTGTTGCTGAGGACTCACCGAATTTGTTGTTGAATTCCAATGATTATTATTATTATTGGAAATTTTCTTTTCATAATACGCTAATTGTTCAATTCGATTCAATTCTCCATCGTATTCATATCGATATTCCTGTTCAAAGAAAGTATTCATGACTTGTTTGGCACTGAATGGGAAAGTCACATCGAATTTGAAAAAACTTAATCCAACACTCTCTCCCATATCGTAGGTTCGTTTTGACATGTAACATTTGTGATGTTGACTGCTGCCAATGATTTCCCATTCGTCAGGCTCGTAATTTGAGAATTGTTTCTTAATGAAACGAAAGTCGTGGAGTGTAAAATTTTCGCATTTCATGGTTTCAGAGAGAGATTCGACAAATTGAAGCAAACTGTCACTTTTCAAACTTCCAATTTCGTAGAGGAGTTGAAGAGGTTGTTTTTTGAGAAAGTTTTTGAAATGTTCACTGGAAAGGAAGGCTGCAAAATGATTTTCTTTCAATTGAAGCAATACTAAGGATTCCACTTCATCAAATAAATTTTTTGGACAAGTGACAGTTGAACCATGCAACGGAATTGGAGATGAATTTGCTTCGAGTGAAGTTGCTGTTGCGGAACCATTCGTCAAAGAGTTCGAACTACTACTACTCGTTGAATCCAAACTATTTCTTCCAACACCTGCTCCACTGCCACTGCTGTTACTCCGCGAAGATTGAGTATTTTTGTTTGCCGTTTTGACAGTTGGCAGTTGAACGTCACTGTGGATTTGCTCATTCACTGAAAACTGGTCCAATGAGGCACCACTGTTCGAAGGAGCCATTTGCTGACTATTCGGGTAGACCACCTTATATATTCTCATTTTAAAATCATTTCGTAAATTGAGTTGTGAATTCGAAGCATCTGCCATAAACTTTTCGTACATTTTCGTAGCCATTTGTAATCGTTTTCGTTCATGTTTAATCTTTCGAAATTCATTCACACTCTGTAGGAAATCACTGCATTCACTATTTAAACATTGATTCGAAAGATAATTTGTGAAACAAGCAAAAGTTTCTGCATGATCGAAAATGGCTTCGAAATGAATATCGAATTGAGAAATGTCATCTGGAACGATGATTCGTTTCTTATCGTTGAAGGAAGCAACCATTGGTTTTGCGTTTTTGAAAGAATTTTGGAGCAAAAATTGAGAAAGTCTTGTGTGAAATTTGTTGTTGTTGTCGAGTGTGATGTGTGAAAGAAATAACAAGGAAATGCCGAGATAAACACACGTGAAAAGGAAGCTGAGGATGGAATGCGTACTAGTTGTGTGTGAAAGAGTGTTGTTTCGAGTAGGCAGAATGACACTCTCGTGTGTGAGACTTTTTTTTAAGATATTGAAGGATAACAACTGACAGCTTGACAGCGCCGACGCAGTTTATCACAAAGAACTACTGAAAGCTTGCAGTTGGTTAAACACAATTGTCTCTCTCCAAAATGACAATCGAGAGATGAACGTTTTTTTTGTTGAAATTGTTGTTGTTGAATATTGGATTCGCAAAACCAAACAAACACACGAGTCCGAAGTGCATCTCTCTGTTGTTGTAACAGAGGAGTTTATCGACAAATACAGATTCTCCATGGTGTATGAAACAACAATTAACGGACAGTGTGGAATGGTATCTTTGTGGTCCCAGAATCACTGAATTTCAAACATTGAAACATGATGTAAGGTATCATTGGCGCGAGATGCAAATAAATTGCACTTGACTTTTTTAGACCTATCGTTCGAACTTGTCCGTTCCAGCTCATTGCCAAACGGAATTCTAAATATCCATTTTATAAGGGTGTTGAATGCATTGGATTTTCTTGAGGCTCCCAATAACCATGACCACTTGGGATTTGAATAAGAACCAATTCATTTGCAAAAATTGATTCAAGGGAAAATGACGATGGCTTGAAAAAAATGAAACGAGAAGATTTACCAAGTTTAGCGGAAGGTGATTTTGTGTTTTGTCGAAAGGAAGACGTCGGGATTTATTTTAGATCCAAGGTGGGTTGGGATGATCTTGTCGATGGAAAGGATGATATATTTTTTTTGATGCCTTGTAATGAATTTTTCTTAAAATGGATAAAATTAATGATGATAATTTATAATAATTTATAATAATTCATTGGAATGATCGGAATGATTTTGTGGATCATTGATATCATTGATGATGATAAAAAAAATCTTTCAGATTGGAACGGTGGATCTTGAAAACAAGACCCTTCATCTTCACTATTATCACATGTCCCAAGAAGAGGATTTGAGTTTTGAAGAGGCTGAACAACGACTTTTGAAGTTTTCAAAAAGCAATGAAATTCGATTATTCAATGATAAAAAATTAGGAATGAAATCTGGAAATATTCGACCAAAGCTTGAAAAATTGGAAACCACCGGAAAGCCATATCATCCAAACGATAAAGCAAATGATGATGATGACGACGATGCAGACGATTATGAAAAGGTTACAAATTTTGAGAAGGACAAGCAAGGAAAAAGTGACGAAGCGAGCGGAAAACGAAAGAGAGAAGAGAGTAGTCTCGGCTCAGACAATACACAGACTTTAGACTCGTCACAGACCTCTAAGGAATCTACCTCGTTGAAATTACCTCAATTCATTCGTCAAGAATTGTATAAGGATTTTGTTCAAGTGAGGAGTGAAAAGAAACTTCACAAATTGAATAAGGATCAAACAGTGGCTCTCATTGTTGAAGGTTATTTGAAAGAGTTGGAGGAACAAGAGGTTCCAGATACAGAGTACGATATTTGCAAATGTGTGATGGATGGAGTTGTGAACTATTTCGATAATTATTGTGAGAACTTTTTGTTGTATCCTGAGGAGGAAGCACAATTCGACGAAGAACAAAGGAAACGAAAATCCAAGAAGGGTGGCTCCAGGAATCATGACGAAGACGACACAGTTCCTGCCTCTACCATCTATGGATTGCATCACTTACTGAGATTGTTCACAATATTACCCAAACTGCTCTCTCGAATGCCAGAAGGCATGTCATTAAGGCAATCGACACAGTCTCTGATTTATCAGAAATTGGAAGGTTTTTTTGGTTATTTGGAATTATTTATGCAAAATGTACAATAATTATTGAGTAATGTGTTGAGTATATATATTATGTGCGTGTACACGTGTAGTACACGCTATAGAAAGATTCACACTGATGGAAATCAAAATTTCATGTCACACCTGTTTAAACTTGTTGGTTATTCGATCCAGAGAGTCCAACCTTAACAGCACCGCTAATGGCAGTGGCAGCACCTTGTTGTACCAAGCCAGTACCATATTCCTTAATCTTATTCAAAGAACCCTTGAGAGCTCTGAAGACCTTAATTCCCAAAATGAAAATGACAATAAAGTCAATCATCATTGCAAACCAAATTACAGCCATCACCAAGTTGCATACAAATGCTGGAATACTTCCTGTTGTACCAGTTGGGAAATAATAAATGGCAGTGACAATACCGCTGAAACCGTATGTCAAATATCCAGCACAACCAATAGCACAAAACAAAATTGCAACTGCATAACCAATAAAGAATAAAATAAATCTTGGAATAGCTCCAATTTCCATAGCCTTATATAATGGCCAATAAGAAAGGAAAAAGTGTGCAGGAATCACAATAAAGAACATGGCAGTAGAGATGACCAAGTATTGAACAATGGTCATGGTTGAGACTTCTTTCGAAAGTCCAGCAGCTGGATAGAAAGCAGTAATGTATGCAGTAAAGGCGTTCAACAACATGACAGCACAAAGAACCATCCATGAAATATATCCCATATATGCAATTTTTCTTCGAAGAAAATCGGATGGTATCTCACCAATGCTGTGATATACAATTGGATAACAACGTGGCCAATTCTTCTTGACAGGCATATGCTCTAAATTTTGAACTTCTCGTTCTCTCTTTTCCAATTCAGCCTCTCTACGAGCAAGTTCCATTGCTTTAAGTCTGAGAGCTTCATTGTCCATACCTTGGTCAACAGTGATATCAGCAGGTTGGCTCAAAACTGGTGGAGCATAGGCATTGGTATAGGTTCCCACGTTTCCTTGCTGTTGTTGTTGTAATGATGGTCCATGAGGAGGTCATCACCCGATCATTATTATTGTGATGGTAAGATGATAAACGGGAGTGGTGATGTATTCAAAAAAGATTCGGTTTGTTATTGTTGATGATGATTTGGTGTGTGGATGGTTTGAATATTCTCTCCATGTTGTTGTATCAAAAAAACACTTACTGGTTGATAATCATAATCGTATGGATCCACATCAGCAGATGAATACGGATTCGTTCCTCCGTTAAAAGCCATGATGATTCTTCTTCGTTATTTATAATAATGATTCAATTCGTTTGAAAAAAGTGTTCGCCCGTAAATTTTTTGCGAAAACGTTTTTTTTAGAAGCAGGACCGAAAATAGGTTCAATTTTTTTTTTCAAAAGTAGAATCTTGTGGGTTCGAAGTCAAATAGAAACCACGAGAGAGACTTATGAAGGAGATTTCAAATTGCATTCAAAATCATGGCATCTTTGTGGTGCATTTCGTTTGACAGACAGAACGATTGAGTGCTTTTTGGGACTTCATTATTTTGAACCTTATGATTTTTACTTGGAATTCTGCTTGAACAAGTTACGAGACCCTTAGACAATCGATTATTTTTATTCACAGTCCACAGGTTTGATCAATTTCAATTGAAAGCTGTACACATTCAAACTGAGTGTTATTATTCCTCAATTTCTTCAAGTTCAATAATAATAGGCGAATCGGTAAGTCTGAATTTGTTGTCAGTATCGTCAATCTTGAAGCATGATACACGAATATTCTTTTGAGCAATGCATGTAGAATCGGCCTTATACCAATGCGTGACCTTGAATTTTGCATTGGTTCCAAATACAACTTTTTGAGCTACCCTAGCGCCATGCTTCTTGGATTTGATCAAGAATAAGGTTCCTTGTTTTGGAATACTCCAGTTCAAATTAGAGACCACAAATCGGTTCCAGCAAATGATAGAGCCAGGTTCGAATTTGGTTCTGTCCACTTTGGATTCGAAAATGAAAGACTCTCCTTCAAATTTGGGTGTTTCTTCAAAGTTGAACGATTGTGGAGCAGAATTGTAAATATTGATCGCAGCGGTGTCTCCAGCAATGAGATACAAGATTGCCCAGGTTCTTGGTGAAATACTGGATCCACTTGCAATGTGTCCAATAATTTGTCTCTTAATGTGAAAGATTTCATTTTGAAAAACATTCTTTCCTCCCACCCATTTTGGATGATCACAAATCTTGAGAGGTTCAACTACAGTAATTTCGTGAGTTTCAGAGGAGGGTTCAAAGAATTCATCAATGCGGGGCGTAACAATTTCCAAGTCTCCTCGTTGAGGTGGTTTTCCAATGAGTGTTACTAATTGTTTGTCTTTGCCTGTAATCAATGAAAGTCTGTTCATAATTTCAGCATTGGGAGATCCAGGAATGATGTTTTTCATCATGCCTCCAATGACTTCTGCCCAATCTCGTGCTGTCATACCAAACGAGTCCTTAATGGAAGATTCTGCACCCAATTCGACAAGAGCTTTAGCAGCATTGACATTTCCATGAATGACAGCTTCAATAAGAGCACATCCTGCTGTTAAGCCTCTCAAATTAGTGATTTCACCTGGTTGCAAAAAACCTGGTAAAACACCATGCTTTCTCAAGAGATCAATAAACTTGGATTCGAGCAAACCATAATCTCCATGAGAAATTCTAACAAGGAAAGGATACAATGGATCCACGAGAATGTCTGGGTTAATATCTTGGCAGTAAGCTCCAGGCATATTTCCGGCATTGTCTAGAGCGAACATGTTAGCGTTTCGAGAAATGAGTAATTTGACAACTTCCAAATTGCCACGAAGCATAGCCACGTGAAGAGGTGTCATACCTGCCATATCTTGAGCTTCAATTTCGGCTCCCAAATCAAGTAAAACTTTTGCAGCATTTGCACACCCATAGAGGGCAGTCAAGTGAAGAGGGGTAGCGTATGGAATGATTTGGTTGTCAGGCCGGGTTCTACACTTCACAGTTGCTCCATAGCGATGAAGAGTTAAAATACATTCAGCTCTATCTTGTTCAGCAGCAGAGAACATGGGATTAAATCCATCAATCTTGGCACAATATTGCAAATCTTCTTCAGTAGCCTTAGTCAAGAATAATTCCAAAATTTCAGCTTGACCTGTTCTACATGCAATAATCAATGGATTGTCACCATTCTTATTAGGAATGTTCACTTGGGCTCCATAGTTCATTAAAATCTCGGCAATTTCGAAAGAACCACGCTGAGCACATGAGATTAGTGGAACGACTCCATCATTGTTTTGTGTGTTTGGATCAGCACCTGCCTCCAATAGTGCTTCCACTACATCAATTCTATTGTTACAGCAAGCAATCCAGAGTGCATTGTTGCCATTCACATTTCTCCAGTCCATATCTGCTTCATGCTCCAACAAGACTTTGACATAATCTAATTTTCCTGTAGAGGCAGCTACAAATAGCAGTGATTCGTAATTTCCTTCGTATCCTACAATATCATTGACATTGAGAGTTTTAGCAAGAGTTTTGAAAATCCCAAGTTGTCCATAATCCATTGCTAAATACATGTGATAAACGTCTGGAGTAATTCCTGATTGCACACATTTTTCAAACAGCTCAACATTTCCTTTACGGATAGCCATATCAAGAAATTCATTGGAGACAGAAGCTGACTCTCTTTGCTCAATCCAGTCATAGCATTTGCCATCGACAAAATTACGAATCTCATTTGTAATTCTACAAACTTTTCTGTTCAACAGTATGGTGGCAGTTCTAAAGAAATGTCTATCGAAAACATAGGTCATCAGTTGATCATTAGATGCAGCAGTTGGAGCGTTGTGATCCAATAATAATGTCACACAACGATCATAACCTGCCATGATTGCCAAGTCTAATGCTGTAAGATTGTCCTTGTTGGTAATGGTAAGGTCAGCTCCTTGGGAAACCAGAATCTTTACAGCATTAACATGACCTTTCATACAGGCAAGATGTAAAGCAGTGTTTCCATCACGATCCTTCTCATTGATCAATGCGATGCAGTTCTCTTGAACAAAGTAATTCTCAAATTCACTGCTCTTTTGTTGAACAACTGCTGTGTGAAGTTTAGAAAAGAGTTTCTTTCCATGTACATAATGGATTTTCTTGATATTGTACTTGGAGATTTGGCCATTTCCTCCTGAGGCGGCGCTCTTGAATTTTGGTGGCTGTACAGTTCTATTACGTTCTTTCTTTGTCTTTACTTCTGCCTCTGGAGCTTGTTTAACGATGAACATGCTTGAAAATTTCAAGTCATTCAAAACATTCTTGTTGACAGCTTGACCAAGCTTAATTTTCTGCAATTCGGCTTCAATGACTGTCAATTTGTCAGTCAATAATTGATCCAATCCCTTCAAGGACGCAGCACATCGAATCAACAATTCACAATGGAATGCAAATAATGTGTCTCCATATTGTTTCTTGTCAACACTTGCCAAATAGAGAGCTTGTGCAGCAAGTTGATCCACGTGATGAGTCGCCAATTTTTGAAGAGATCTCAATCTCAATCGTTGCGGGCATCTGGTTTGCAAAATATTGAGTTGAATAGGATCTCTTCCAGAAACTCGTAATTCAGCTTGAACAGTTTTGTCTGATTCTGGTACACAAGTAATGTATCTTGTGATGGAGCCTTGACCTGACTGATTCACAGGAATATTTACAATAAATGTGTTCTGACCTGACTGTTTGGAGTCATTTCCTCCCGAGTTTCCATAAAGAATTGACATTCCCTCAGGTAAGGTAATTTCAGCAGAAATGGTACTTGATGAGCTCACAGTATCGAATATTGATGTTAGCTTTCCACAAATCACATCGTCATTGTCATCATAATTTGCATATCTATAAGCTCCTTCCATAGTACCAACTTTTCTAATAGCATCCAACAATTCCAAATTGTGATTGTTATCAAATCCAACAGTGTGAACGACATAATCGCCTCTATAAACTTTGTCCAACTCTCTACGAAGATAATCAATACCACCTGGCTTACCAACACACGACTGGTCTTGGCCATCAGTCAAAAAGGCAATGACGACATGGCCAAAAGGCAACTCGTCAGCTCCTGCTCCTTGATTACCACTTTCTCTTTTAATGATCGAACAGGCTGTTGTGAATGCACTTGCAAAGTCAGTTCCTCCTCCTGTAAATGCTTTCTCAATTCGACCAATAATTTGAGTCAAACTTCCACTCATATCAATTTCTTTGGCGCTGCTTTCGTAGGCAACCATTCGACAAATCACAGCTGGATTTTCAAAACTCTGATGAGCAATATGTTTCAACGAGGCACATACTTGTTGCCAAGGTCGACCTTGCATGGAACCAGAGACATCGGCCAACACAATGAAAAGTGTTGGTTTTGGATTGAGAGTCGAGTCATTGACGGAGATTTTGAGCTCGGCCACTCCAATATCATGATCATCACTATCGACCAAGTGCTCGGCTTCAGCACCAAACTTGGCTCGTGGTTCATTCGTATTTGATGATAGTGTTCCTTCAACTGATGGTTTCTCCTGAGATACCATCTCTACAAGAGAGGCTAAATTTACGTTTTTCGGAGCCTGTTGTTCATCAAACTCGCTCAAATCAGCTCTACAACATGGACAAGTCTTCTCGGAAGCATGACCAAAGTACGTATGTAAAGATTCACGTGAAAAGGCTCTCCCACAACACGGCACTACAATGGGATCTTGTAATAATTCTCTCGAGATGGGACAGGTTAAATCTTCGTGATCTTCGGAGAGCATTTTCAAAGGGTTGAAGAGAGAAGTTTGTACTAACTTTTTTATTTGTAGAAGATTCAAGTTCACGATGCACTCTCAAAATTGAAAGAAATGGAAATCTCAATCACAATAAGGAACTTGTGTGTCTCGACGGAACCCCGGAACAAACGTGTTTATCATAAGTTGGTTTAATAATTGGAAGAGTTTGTTTTTATGTACAAGTGTTCATGATGAGGGTCTAAGGTTCATCATTATTTCATAATGGTCAAACATCGTTCAATGAATTGCTGTTCGTCCAAATCAGCCTTACTCGATGCATGATGAGTCACGAAAATTCCATTCAACTTGTCTTTCACAGTTTTTGTGGTGGCAGCCAATTGGAATTTCTCTCGAACCGAGGTTGCAGGTGGACACCACACAACAAACACTAATTTCGTTCGAGAGCCTTCTCGTGCTGCTTGTTCTTGACTTTTTGGCATTTCAAAATGTAAATGATAACAAATGAAGCGTGTTTCATTGTGAGGAAGTGACTGAGCTAAATCGGATAAAGTATTACATTGGGAATTGAGTTCTTGGTCAAGAATGAAAGTGCCATCTAGTTTCTTTAAAACAAGGAATTTGCAGTCTTTGAAATCACCCTTTCCCATTCTCATACTTTGGAAAGCATGCATGGCATCGTCGTGGAGAGTCACTGGGAGCATCATTTTCGTTTGGATTTGGTTGCCTTTGGTTGTTGGTAATGAACTGCTAAATGCTGAATTAATTTTTTGTTGTTTACAAATCAAGCTGAAAGTGAAAAGTATTTATAGGAAGTGCCATGGATACTTAAATTCTAGAACTTGATCCATACATGAATGAAAGCGTGACATGTTTGAAAGATAGGTGTTGAAGTATCCAATAGAAATCCACAATTTTTGAAAGATTGGTGGGAACTTGGAACTTGCATGCTGTCTAGACAAAAATATGAACTTGAGCACTTCTTCGATCCAACACAAACAACTCTCCAGTCCATTCATTCAAACACATGCCAGTTGGTACTCGTGGTGGCTTTCCAGAAGCATTTCCCCATCCTCCCTCTATCGAATGTAAATCATTTCTCAACATCATCTTTTTGGGATCCTTAATGGTTCGTTCAAAATCATAACATTTCAATTGGCTATAATTCTTTGGATCATAGACTCGAATTCTATGAGGAAACATCTCACATACCAATAAATTTCCAGAAACTTGATCCACTAGTAAGGCATTCTGTCCATGAAAATACAATTCTTCCGCACACGTTTCTGAACTCAATAATTTAACGAGATGGAGCGTGGAATGATCTTGTCGAAAGATACCGACTCGTGCTTCATCGCCGTCATGTTGAAACAAGAGTAAATGACCATTCTGTAATAATTGGACACATTTCGGATTGAAAATGGGAGTTTGAAACAATCTCTGAGTATGGTGCGTCGATGAGATGGAACTTGGACCACTTCGCAATGGACAGGATTGTGAAGCTATAACTAATTCATCAATGACTTGAATGACTTTACCATTGGAAGTGTCCAACACTTTGAGACAATCCTTTCCAAAATCACAAACATAGAGTAAAGTCCTGCATGAAATTCCAGAAATTTCATTGGACAAGGGATTGTCACGAGTGAATGTTTGTGGATGACCATTCAAATGTGGATAACACAAGGAGAGACCAACGGGATCAGAGAAGGATTGCAACGGAGCTAGAGTCAACCCATCGGAATAAAATGGAATTCCAGTTTTCCAAATTGGTTTTGAAATGTGAATCAGAGACGACCCATACTCTCGTCTGTTACTGGACCATACTCCTCCATTCTTCGTGTTAGGCTTGAGTTTGGAGAGCTCAAATTTATAAATACATTGATCTTCACAGGACACAATTAAGGCATCTCCATAATGTTGGTTATGACTGGCATTTGATAAAGAATGGAATAACATTTCAACACATAAACATTTGATATTGAAAGGGCACAATGGAGATTCTTGCAATAACAATTTTGAATACAAATCAAAGAATATCACGTTACAAGAGCAAGATACGATAATACATTCATGTTGATGAGAAATTGCAATGTTGGTGGGTTGATGCAATTTGAATGTTTGTTCTTTTCTAGTGGTGGTGGTCGAATTAAAAGATTTTAAAATCGAATGATTGTGTTGAGAATGACCTTTCGAACCTGATGTATTTGTTCCAATAGTACTTGAATTATTCGTTTCATTCCGTCGAGCGTCTGAATATTTATGATAAATAATGCGAATAGGGGGAAGTGAAATGGGATGTGAAGAATTCTTGTGACTCCACGTGGAAGATGATGAATGACGTGGTTGATGACCATGTTGAAATAATAAAGAATGTTCATTATGTATCAAGCCATACTCTTTGAAGTGTAGAGAAAAGGGTCGTTTAGGTCGAGTGTTGATTTTGAATTTTAATAATTGAAAATAATATTGTTCGTGTGAAGAGAGATGAAAGGGATGATCCGAGAGAATGATATGGACTTGATCTTGGGATGTGATGGACTCGAAGAGTGAGGTCGACGAGTACATCCCATCAAGATTCTGTCAATTTATTTCGTGTTAATAATTGTTTGCTACTTTTAAAGATTTCTTCTAAATTCGGAAGTGAAGAATGTTTTTGGTTGAGCTTACAGCGTTATGAACAGAATGTCAAGAACCAAAGCCAAGTTTGCTTGGATCTTCATAGATCAAAGAAATGTTGTAAAAACGAACAATTAACAAACAACGAACGCCGTTACATCCTGAAGTTGAATTTCAAGTTCAACAGTGTTTCGTTTTCAATCAACCAATTATTTTAAAACTTAAAAAAAATATTTCGTGATCATAACAACAAAATCAATTCATGCCGACCAAAGAAAAACCATCCCGAGGTGGAACGAGCTCTACAAATTCTCAATCCTCCAATACATCATCATCATCTTCAAGGAAAAATATAACGGATGGAAAAAATTCAGCATCTATGGAAATACTCAAAATTTCTCCCAATGTCAAACGCTATTCCGATATCAAAAAACCATCTAATCATTCCTCTAATACATTTACATCGACGGTAGGAAGTTCTGGAGTTGTATTTAATCAAGTGAAAGCAAGAAAATGCATTGAAGATTATACACCTGAAGATGAATTAGAAAAATGGCTGTTGAAACACAATGAAAAGAATCTTGTACTTTGTTTGGAACATCCAACACATGTTTCACAACGAGGTGGACATTATCATATTATATTTAGGACTCAGAACATATATAATGAATATTTACAAGCTTGGGAAAAATCAATTCATCATGAAGAGCTATCATCAAGTGTACCAAAAATGTATATTGAAGAATTACGAACCAAACATGCATTTCGATTATATATCGATATTGATATTAAATTGAATATAGAAGAAAAGTATGATATTGTTGAAAATGGCTGGATTGACATCATTATGAATTTCACTTATCACTATTTCAAAAATCAACAAGATTTGACAGATTTTACCCTGATTTTAACACAATGTCATGGAAAATGGGAAGATAGTGTTACCACAACTGCCAAATTCAAATCAGGTTACCGTCTCTATTTTCATGACATTATTGTTGATTATGACAAGTTTTGTGACTTTACTCATAATTTATGTTATACCTTACAAGGAAAATACGATCATTACAATGGTCAACCTCATGATTGGACCTTTGAGGATGTGATTGACTTGAAAACTTGTAATCACCCACGATGTCGATTATTTGGAAGCGCTAAATGGAGAAGAGGCGAACTCTTACCTCGAATTTATGAATTTTATGGAGCTTTCAAATACAACTCGACCACGAATAAGGCAATTCTTGATCATCCCTTGACGAATAACTTGAGAAACAATGTCTGTGAATTATTGAGATTGACAAGTGCTCGAGTGGAAGATCCTTTTGATGAATGAGAATGATGTTTCTCTCTGAGTACGAGTTGTAACAATTTCGTGACGACATGTCGAGTTAAATCCGTAAGAGTGACCTTTTTGTTATTTCAAAGTCAGCCATCTATTAACGAAACTAAAAAAATGCTCGGAACGGACAATTCGTTAAACAGCAACGAAGGTACGGAACAAACCAAAAAGCCTTCACTTGTTATCAGCGGAAGTACAAGCAGCGTCGACGAGTTGAGTAGTAGTAACAACAATAATAAACAACATCAACGAGTAGCAAGTGGTAGTAATAGTAGTAGCGTTGATGATTTTTTGAATGATGATGTAGTAACTTCTTCCGATGATGATGATGATAACGAAGAAAATACATTGGCCATTTCTAAAAACAAAGGCGGTCCGAAAAAGAAGAAAAAGAAGTACTTGATACAACAGAAACATGATTCCGAAGCAATGCCACATCTTTCAAACCTACACAGGCATCATCAACATTTAGGAGGTGAGGAGCATTACAAACATTTGACTCATCATAATAGAACGAACCACTGGTCATCAGCGTCTGTCATGATGAAAGAACAAACCGATTACGGAGAAATTAATGTTTATCCAATTGATATCAAACAATTACAAGCTTCCGAGACTCAAGTCGCTGGGCACGGAACACGTAAAAAGAAGGAACTCTCTTTACTGGTTCGAGATGGTAAAATATTTAAAGCAATTCAACCTGGAAGAAAACGTTCATGGTCTGAGGTTCACTTTTACGAAAAGCAAATTGCAAAAGCTCCCTATTTACTGCCGTTCGTTCCAAAATATTATGGAGTGTTTAGAGCTTTTATTGCAAACGAGGAAGAGGATTTGGGAGACAAATCAATTGATTCTCTAACGAGATCAAGTAGCTCATCTTTGAATTCTACCTTCTTTCATGCTGCATCGTTAACGAGTACTAGCCCTAATACTTCTCTTCAAACACTGGATACCAGCAATGGAGATGTGATATTACGAGGAGTGAAGGAGCCTCTTGCTGTTGTAAATACGACATATAAGCATATAGATTTTTTGGTACTGGAGGACATTACAGCAAGTATGGAAACTCCAAATGTCATGGACATTAAAATGGGACAACGTACCTATGGAGAAGATGCGTCACCTGAAAAGATTTTAGAAGAAGAGTCAAAATATCCCTATCAACATGTTTTAGGAATGAGAATTAGTGGTGCCAAAATATATGATCGGACTCAAAAAGCATATAAATATTTAGATAGACATTGGGGACGAACCATTACACCAGAGACTCTCATGAATGCTATGGAAGTCTTTTTCCTTCCTTCAGGATATGACGAAGAGGTGCGAGTCGAAATTGGAATGAGTGTTCTCGCACAATTTCTGAAAGAAGTGAAGAAAATGTACATGATATTCACTCAAAAGAATGACTTGTTACGAATGTATGCGAGTTCACTACTCATTTCCTATGACCATACCAAGAATTTGTGTGTGAAAATTATTGATTTTTCCCATGTTCATGAAAATCATACAGGAACGCCAATTTTCGACACTGGATTTGCACATGGCCTTTCTACCATCATTTCTGTCACGGAACAGCTTTTGGAAAAGTATTCCACAAGCACAAAATGAAATTTGAGTATTCATTGAAACCAAACCAATCAATTCTAATTTCATAGAGAGCACCTCTCATTGATCCATTGATTTCAACAACCTCACGTTTAAACACAAATTTCAAAGAGTGAGAGTAGTAGTATGATTGAACACTCAATGATTAAGAAAATATTACCTTACATTACAAAAAAAATGTCCACCATTCTCATCACTGGTTCCTCTCGTGGCATTGGATTGGCGTTGGTCAAGACTCTCCTTCAAAATAGTCCTTCCAAACGTATCATTGCTACATGCCGGGATCCGAATAGTGCCAAAGATCTCTCCCAATTACAATCACAATATTCCGATCGTCTTTCCATTGAACCTTTAAATGTTTCCGATGAGAAGGATGTTCTTTCATTGATCGATCGTTTGAAACAACAACACGCTGCAGTGAGTGTGTTGGTGAATAATGCAGGAATTTATTCAGCCATGCATAAAGAAACCTTGTTGAATTCTACGAAAGAATCCATGTTGAAAGTGTATGAAACCAATGTCATTGCACCCATGTTGATTATTCAACACTTGTACAATGCTAAATTATTTGAGAAGGGAGCATTGGTTGTGAACATTTCGAGTATTATGGGATCGATTGGTAAGTGAGAGTGTGTTTGTTCCTGTTCGATTATTGGGAATGTATTGGAATGGTTTCGTGGATGATTGTACGTGAACAGCTCCAACATTTGAAAGAAGAGGAGTGTCTTATTCGTGTTCAAAAGCTGCACTGAATATGTTGACCAAGATGGTCAGTATTGAATTACCTGATGTGCATGCGATTAGTATTCATCCAGGTTGGGTTCAAACAGATATGGTAAGTTTGTATCGCAAACCCACACTATTTCGCTAATTCAATCATTGCCATTGTAGGGAGGAAAAGGTAGGTCATTTGTGATCTTTTAATGGAATTCCTTTTGTTGACAATTGTGATTTCAATATAGATGCACCAGTGAAGGTGGAAGATAGTGCTTCTGGAATTGCCAAAATTATTACCAACTTTGATGCCAAGACACAAAATGGATCATTTGTGAGCTATGATGGCTCAGCCATGCAGTGGTGAGTTTGAATGCATCCATGAATCTACAAGCAAGATCAATTAAAATGTCAGTTATCGTATTGTGTTAAGCTCACATGGAGATTAATGGTATTACAATTTTGAAAATCGTTTATGTGACGGGAATTCCACCATGTCTGAATCTTGCTTGTTCTCTTTATGGCTCAATTCCAACATTTGTTTCACGATGGTCAACATGTGAGGCCAACATTCATCTCTTCCTTCCTGTTGTTTGTAAAAGTTAAAATGTCCAACTTTTTTAGCAACCTCTCCATGAACATGATACATTCTCTTTTCATTTGGCGTGAGTGGCTGATCGTGTGGTTGTGTGGAATCAGTTTTTTTCAATGTCACATCAATTTTTTTGGGAATTCTCGAACGATCCGTATTCAAATGTTGTTGATCAGTAAAGCTCACAAATTTAGGATCACTCAAACTTCTCAAAATCCACGTCGCTGCTTGTAAAGGTGCAAAATGATCTCCCTCAATCACATAACTCACCATTGGAATTTTCTCTAATGTCCATGCAGGATGTTCTCCATTCTTTTGTGGTTCCTCAATTCCAAAATATTCAAAAATATAATTTCGACGACATCGTCCTGCCGAGTACCAATCTCTCACGAGCTTTTTTGCCACATTTACTGGAGGAGTGTTGAGTGGATACATCCATGCCATACTCGGTAAATACACATACCAATAGAAAAACATGAGAATTCGAGGTAGGATCCATGGCCAGTGTGCAATGAGTCCACTCTGAGTTCCAACCCAAACACTTCCAATGAATTTCTGTAAATACAAAGAGGGAAAATAGGCCAATATTTGTCCTCCAATACTGTGTGCAATATAGAGAAAATTGTGAATGGGATAGATGGGAGGGGATTGTTTGAGACTTGTTAAAAATTGAGTGAGTTGGGTATTCAATAACTCCTTGGTTTCCGTACTAGGGTTGATGATATTAACTATTTTTGGTAATTTGGATTGGAAATTTGTGGTCAACAATAATTGATGCAATGGCGTACTTTCAAGAAAATTCATGATTGCTGGTACATCGAAACGTCCCCAATTTCTAACACTAATATATTTGTTTTGAATGTCAAAAAGTATTTCCTTTTCATCCTTCATGATTTTCGAATTGTCTTTAGCGCTGTCAGAACGATCATTTTGAACAGCATTCACTCTCAAACCAGATGCAAAACATCCTCGATAATCCAATGTCGCGACCATGCATCCAGTTGATTCACAAATAAATGTACAAAAATCCTTGTAAAATCGACAAGGAACTCCCATAGCTGGTGCCATTAAAATTGCAGTTTCCGAACCGCCCGAGTGTACCCGTGAAAGAGTTGAATCCTTTCTCTCGAGTGGAATGAAAACAATTCCATAAATTTTGTAACCATCTTGGCATGTCACTTCATGTGTTTGCTCACATACGATAACTCTTCCGATAGGACCACCAGCATCAGCACCCGAGGAATTTGATGCTCTAGAAGTGGATGAATGATTTTCTTGTGGTTGCATTTTTTTAAATGGTGTGGAAAATTAAAAGATTTCTCCGTTTCGTGATTGGCATGAGCAAACATGAAAGTTATTTGGTGCGACGTTTCCTGTTTTGTTATACTGAAAAAATTGATCGAATCGATTGGTGTCTGTAAAAGCAGCTTCAGGTGATTGAAAAACGAATCAAGCATAGTGACTTGGAGAATATAGCAACTCTGAAACAGTTTCAAGTTGTTGAGCTGTGAATTTGGTCTTGTTTTGTTCCCATCGATCAATGGATTGTTGTAATCTAAAGAAAATGTCAAAGGTTTCACGAATAATCTTTTGTAAAGGTTGACCTTGCACGACAGTTGAAAATTTGCTCATTCTTGCCAACTGCGCCATGATATTTGGCAGAAATGTGGGAATGTCATAACAGTGTGAAAATGCTTTCACAATAGAGCTCAAACCTAAGCCTACAAATACAGGATCTTGTGAATTCTTTTGAGTCGTATCAGACTTGTCCAATAATGCTTTAGCTTGCGTTAGAAAGAGCTTTGTAAAAGGTAACAACACTCTTTGAGGCATGATTCGTAGTAGAGAGCAGAGCATATCCGATGCAAGCTGGCGAATCACCATGGCTTTGTCTTTAAGGTTATTAAGGTATGCTTCACAAAGTGTTTGATAACTATCATCATGCTTAAATAGGTAAAATTGATTTTTGAATGAAAAATTTCCTAAAAATGATAATAAAATCATTGATTTCCATTGGCTGGAACTGTCTGATGGATGGGGTTTTGTCTGTTGTTGAAGGTTGCTTGTGGCTAACATGAAAATACTGCTCGCGCCTTGTTTGTTAACCATGGTTGCAATTTTTGCAACAACAATGCTCGCTTGAAGTGTAATTTCGTTATTGTGAGACTTGTTAATGATGGCAAGTAGAATGGTCAAAATTGAGTCTAGATAAGGTGTTAAAATATTAATTCCTCGAATCATGGTACGAGTCACACACTCAAAAAAGACAGAGCATACATATTCAAATTGATTCTCGGTCTCTGATTGTTCTATTTGATTTGCAAAATTTTGAAGAATACTTTCCAAGTATGAATTCTTGTCTTGATTTCCAATATGTGAACCAATGTAAAAATGATAGTTCGCCAAAAATCCTAAACCAAGGATGCTTCCTACAAGTTCTCGAATCTCAAAATGAGAATGTTTCAAAAACGGAAGTAATTTGCTGTTCACAAGATGTTGATACCACTGGTTGATGGCACCACAGTTAGCCAGCGCATGATACGTTAAGCTAAGTATCTTTGTTTGGAGTAACGTGTCACTGCTCCCAAGATCAATTTTTGAAATTACAAAGTCAATTATTTCCGTATTTCTTCGGTAATCCAAATCTCGAAAACAATGTGCGAGAGCGTGTGACACTACCAAATTACACGAGTTATGAGAACTCAGTTCTGCCATTCTTTCTAGTTTGGGTAAGAGAATATTAAACAATTTTGCACGGTCTGGAGATTGCCAATGCTTGGAACCTCGAACACAACCGGTAAATATTTCGCTAGATAATCTAATCACAAAATCAAGATTTGGTTCGTCGCTTGAAATCGATAATACAATATCCCAACACGTTTTGATAATGTCAATAATTTTTGGGCCAATTACTTGGCATAGACCTTTGAAAAAGAATGTCATTTGCATTCGAAACGTTGGGCTTGTTGTTGTATCGCCGTCAATGGCACACTCGAAAAAGCGTTTCCACCAAGTTATTTCACTCATCAACTGTTGAATGACTTCTAACGAGTCATGGAATGAAGAGGGTCGTAATTCTTTTGAGTAATCATAAACTTTAAGCTCGTGTGGTAGGAATGATAATACATTGTTGACATCTGATAAATGGTCTGAAGTATAATTGTATGGCTTGTCAATCATTGTGTTCGACGGAGATACATCGAATTTGTTGTCTAGCAATCGTTTGATTGTTTCAACATCCTTTAAAATTTGGAATGGTTGATGTGGCTTGAGCTGCTGTAGTATTCTGTTCATTGTGCTCAAAGATATAATCCTCAGGTTAGTATTTTCACTAATCATGCTGTTTGCTATTGTGCTTACATAGGCGTGTGGGAATACATCATGTTCATATTTTGGATCTTGTCTCACTAACCACTTTAAAAATCTCATAATAATAATAATTACTTGATAATTCCAAGACATGTTATTTCTGTTCAAAAGCGTTGCAAGATTGTGAACGGTAATTTTGTACAGCTCAAATGACTCCTTGTTCAGAATTGGTAACTCAAAAAACGAGGATGCATACAGAGCTATGACAATGTGAATCTTTGCATGAACTTCATGGTCGTCCACTGAACAAAGGAACAGAGAGTGGAAACAACGGCTTGCAAAGAACCAGCTTCTACATATTGTCTTGATCACGATTGGGGAGGCCAAAAACTCAATACATCCTATTACTTGATAGTTGTTCGTACAGGCTGGGTCTGTTAAGGCTGATACTGATGTTAAAATATATGGATCTATTAATTTTCTATGAGAATGCTTAAACAAATTGGCAATTTTGAAAAAGCATATTTTAGCTTTTTCTCGAATATTTTCGTATTCTGAAGAGGTTGCCAAATTAAATATATCAGTGAGAAGCGTTTCATGTACTTTGCTTAAATACTTTTCATGTAAACACCACTTTGTTCGTTGCAGTGCCTCTCTCCACTTGTACAATATTAGAATACGGTCAAGAACTGCCGCTCTTGGGTAATAGTGCTTCCTATTTAAACTCTTAAAGTAATATACTTTGATTGCGTTCCATAATTGTGTTGTGTTTTCTCTGGTGCTTGTGTAGTTCATTCTTCGATAGACAGTACAAATTTGAATGACATCTAGCAGACAAGTTATCAGCTCGGTGTTATCTGAAGACTCTTGATCCGTCAATTCACTAGTTTTCTCGGAGATGGCCAGCTCTTTCAGTACCACCGAGAGTCTCTGAGCAATGTCAAGTCTTGAATACTTGATCCTGTTGTTTGGTATTATGGAGAATAATGTGGTTGTTGATTGTTCGTTGTTTTCTACAATTTCATCAAGCATCACTGAGCTTCCTTTCATGACATATCTCAAGAACGTCAGTGTAGTAAGAAGATCGTCTTTTTCTGAAATACGCCGATTATCCAATTTTGTAACAAGTAATTCCATACAAATATCGTATATCAAAGAAGCCTCTGTAAGCTCTTCACTGCTGGGATGGTGCCATATACCTCGGATTCTGAATTAATATTCACTAATTTTCCCCAATATTGAAAGTGATCTGTTTTCAAGAATCGAGAAGAATTCCACGTCGAAAACGGAACACTTCTTTTTTCCAATAGATATACCGTGGTTAAGCTTTGGATATAGTGACGAATAAATTTTCCAACAGCTATAATTATACTTAAATCCACTTCTGTGCTATTTCTTAAATGGGCGTCAATAACTTGCCTAACTGTGTTTGAATGATGCATAGCGTTGTTGTTATTCTTAAAACATTTTCCTAAAATTAGCAAGTAGTAATTGAGCTCCTTGTCATTCATGTTGTCTTTTTGCAGAACTTTTGGTTCCAATTCTGAAATAATAATATCCATGGGATTGTACTTCTCACAGTAGTAGGTACTGGCGTAATGAATAAGATCTCTCAATTGTTTTGAAGAATCTGGTAAAAAGTTTGTTGACAAATATAGGACAATCTTTTGTAAACATAGTTTGTGAAGTCTGGGGGAGAGTTGTTGAAAAAATAGTGAAACGGAAGTCATAATTCGGAAGTAATTTTTGGAGAGGTCAGTATATGTCACGTTGCTTAAAAATTCCAGCGTTCTATTAACAAATTCAACAGAAAAATCTTCAAATAGAGATACCGCTGATGGCACCTCATCAGCATCGCTTGATTCGATAATAGGCACCAGTTGGAACACTCGCGACATGAATTCATACGCTCGAATTGCTTTCATAATGTCCGTGATTTCAATATTTAAGACTACAGTCATTAACACTTGAGCTAAATATTCTCGAATTTCTGGTATATCGTCACATTGTGTCATGAACGGAATTAATACCACATTTAGTAGCTCAATAGTGGTCGATATTTGGTTGGCCTTGCTAAAATTTTGCAAGCTGTTTAGAATAATTTCAAATAGTTCAGTAATTACTCGTTTTGGTCTAATATAGCAGAGGTGTTTGATGACTTCGATATCGACTATCCAAATTTCAATGTCCTCTGAGAATAATATAGCCTTAGACACAGAGAATATTATATCTACAATTTCATCCACCACCTTTTCCGATAGTTGAGTTGTTGATGTGGATGATTGCTCTCGCTTTAAACGTTTGGCTAGTGCTCTAATAAGCTCATGCAAAAAGGCAATTAAATTCGAGTTCCACAAGAACTGGTCTTCCACACAGTGTATGAGCTGTGTTAAAAATTGAAGGGTCTCTGGAAAGTCTAATAAATAAACACAAAGCTGAGCAGCATATTTGAGCGCAATACCTTTGGGAGAGTCCGACCAAAATAGGTTGCATACTTCTGGTGGATCAGTGCCTGATGAGGATGCCAATCGATACAGTTTTGAAACACTGCTGTCGTCTTGATCTTCCAGAGTTAGTTTCACACCCATTTTGCTGCTTAATGTTGAGACTGTAATCTTAACAGGAACGTCCATACATTTTAAAATTTCTGTGAAAATATCATCTAAATGAGGTTGAAATATATGAACGTCTCCACACCGATCTCTGGACATGCGATAAAATAGTGAAAAGAAGTTAACTTCAATTAGGGGCGTGCTTGATACGCTCGAGTTCCACAGTTCAATTAAATGGTCAAGCCAATAGTTACATTTCCCTTGAATTGAGTCTTCGTTTCGGAAGCTTGTAGGAAGAAGCAAGCACATGTAACAAATTGAAATGTAGTACTCTGTATGGTTGACAGACATTCTACTTGTAAAAGTGTCTAGTATTTCTTTGCTTGCACTTGTTGGAAAGAAGTTTCTCAATTTACAAACAGCCTTAATTAGTGTCAATCCATATTTGATAAATAACTCAGGATTGCTAGGAATGCCGTAATCTAGCTTACGTTGCTTGTTAAAAAACGACTGTCTAATCAATTCGTAAAGTCTCTTCCAACATGTCACTGCTTTCATCATTGGACAATATTGCATTCGCAAGATCACCTTTCTGTGTTTTAGGAGAGTGTAGAGCAGGTCTGCAATTTTTGTACGAATTTCCATGAATGCAATACTTCCCACTTTTTCATCCACAAGAAAGGGAAGAGCCATCTCGAGAATTTGAATGCGCTCCTCGATTGAAAGTGGATACTCCAAGCTAACGTATTTGTTAAATAGATTTATGGATTCATTCAACGTATGAAAGAAACAAGACTCCCCTTCCAAATTTTTGAGCTCGGAATTGAAAAGATCATGAGCCACAGAAAGTCCATTCAAAATTTTGTGTTTCATCATCGGAATCTCTTCCATCATTTCTTGTTTTGCAAATGCTGGTTGATGCAATAGAAATTTGTTCAACAAGTTGCTGTTATTATGATTGGACGATGATGATGAACTCGTGTTCGGAGGCTGTTGAGTGTCTGCCTCATGAATTGCCATCATTTTTTCCTTTTTAAAATCATACACCTGTTTTTAGAACTTTTTGGAAACTGCTGAAAATTAATGTTCATTGAGGTATGCAGAAAACTTTGAAGAATATTTATTGTGGATGAAATCAATCCATCTTACACAATCAATTCATTCAATTCTCTCACTTGTTCATTCTTACACTCCAGTTTTGCTCTTATGAGGCAATGGATGATCATCCACATGAGTACGAGAACCTCCTTCTGCCTGAGTCAACACCAAATCATCAAAAGGTACATGTAAATTGAAATCAATCTTTTCCTTATCTTGCGCAACAAATGGTTCCAAGAATTGTTTGGTTCGTTTGGTCGAATCTGAAATATCCAAACGAGCAATTCTCAATTTTTCATTGCCATGAAGTTTGGGTCCAAAGGTATGAGATTTGAAACGTGGCAGAAAGTGAGTAATTTCTTCCTCGTAGGCACCATCTTCACTTCGATAGAAGGCTGTCACACTGGTAGGAGTGTCCGTGTTGTTGGTAATTCGAGAGGAATAGAGTCTACCGTGAGGTTGGTGGTGTGAAAACATGGGGTTGGAAATTAGACTATTTTACAATGATATGGTTGTTGTGGTTGTTGTGGTTGATGCAATTACTAGCAGTTGAATTGTTTTTTTGATGAGAGTGAGAAGGAAGGTGTTAGGTTGAAAACATTTTAAGTTTCATAAGGTGAGCATTAAATAAAGTAATTTCACAATTTCGGAAAGTGTTTAAAATTATAATATTCATGAGGTACTTTTTGAATCATCTCTCTGGTTTGCTTTAATGACTTTTATGAATATTGATGAAATGAGACCTACTATTGGTCTTGGCTTGTTGAATCGTCAGCCAACAAAGTTCACGTTCAACAGATTCAAAAGAGGGTTCGAAAATGAATTTGTTTCTGAAATAAATTAAAGAACGTTATTTACAGTTAATGATGATCATAGAACAACTATGGATTACAACCTAGTGGATAATTCCACATCTTCGAAACGTTCCTCTGTAGAATTTCCATTCACATCTAGAGTCCCTTCCTTAGGCTCGGTTTGTTCTGTGTCACGTGTCTGTTGTGCCTCCAACATTTGATTGGCCTTTTCCTTCTCAGCATCTTCCTTCTCATGCCTCTCTAGCTCTAATTGCCACGTGTTTCCATCAATTTCAGATTTCTGTTTTGCCAATTTAGGGAAAATTGCAAAGAAAATGGTAATTGCAAAATAGAACACAATGATGCAAAGTCCAATGGTCAAGCTGAGCCAATCAAATTCTGTAGATCCATGTGGTTTTGTGGAGTATGGTGTTATAAATTCCTTAACAAGTTGAATGCTAAATAATATCAATAAAATAATAGGATTCACAAATTTGATTAAAATACTCCAATCTCTGTTTGGCCCCAATTTACAAATCGCCTTAATTTTCACTCGATATTCATCCACACTATGAAAGAGAATGATCGAAAATATATTCCAATATTTTCTCAATTTGTTTTTCAATCGTCGATTTCGTTCGGTACGAACGGCAGATGCGTCCAAACTGTCAATCGTTGGAGGCGCGATGGGATTTTCATTTGTGTCGTATCCTCCAGGAGAGTCGACGGATGTCTCTTCAATAGAGGAATAGCTGGAAGCTTTCCATTGCTGTTTCACCTTACTCCATAAACTCTCGTTTGCAATAAGATAGCCAATTAATACACATTGTGCTATGGCTGTGAAAACTAGACAAAAATCACTGATATAATGATCGACTATGTCCATCAAATAATAGCCACTGAAAAATGTTCCATTGAATTCAAAAATGATATTTAAAATCACTAATAAATTGCAATATTCTAAAAACGTACTTGTCCAAACAATATGGAATTCCAGTGAGAAATCCAAGAGCACACGTTCCTAAAGAAATCCAATGCATTTTTAACTTGGGAAATGCGTCATGGATGGTCTGTTGGAGTTTTGATTTTTCATTTATACGTGGAAATTGAACCGTAAATGAATATTTGAGCTTTGAGTTGTGACACAACAATACTTACACCATTAACTCCTTCAATCATACCAAAACATGAATCAACTATGAATTACATGTCAATATGATCGTCATGTGCTTTGAAATACTACTTACTTGATAATGTAAACATGGACAATAAAAACAAAATACAGAACAAGTGAGGTAAAGGCATGAGAGAGATGGATTCTGGTACCACCACAAAGGCTAAAGCTAATCCTCCTTGCACAACCTCATCCACGTGAAGACCCTTCGTATGAGCCATATATCCGAGAATGGCAAACATGCAAAAACCTGAAAAATTTGTAAATCATTTGTGTGAAATTGAGACCTTCTACAAACCTGAGAAAATACTAAATAAATACGTAGAAACTCCAATAATCCATGCATCTTTGACAATGTTCTGTTTTGGATCATTGTAAGATGAAAGGGCAATCATGGTTCCACTCGCCAAGCTCAGCGAAAAGAATATCTGACCTGCTGCAGAAAGCCAAATGTCCACATTGAGCAATTTGGAGAAATCTGGTTTGATAAAGTACCACATTCCAGAAAACGAGCCCTCTAAAAAGAAGCTTGTAATGAGCATGATCAATAGTAAAATGATAGGCAATGGAACGGTCAAATACGTAATCACTCCAGTACTACTTGTACCTTTCCAAACTCCAAAATAAACAAATATCCAAACCAACAACAATGAAATCAGGATGGGTACATTCATTTCCGTTACGATGGTATCACTTGGACTTTTCCGAATGATGGTCTCAAAGAAATATTCCTCTGCTCGTCCTTTCCACGGTAAGGTCCAAGCCCACATGTGATAAAAGTAAACAAATATCCAAGAAATTAAAACACTGTAGTATGAACAAATTCCGAAACCACCAAAAATCACAGCTGCAATACCAATACCTCTGGCTCTATGATTGAGTAATCCGTTGGCTTTGATTGCTGCCCTTCTCAACATTTGTCCAACACTGAGTTCCAGAATTAATAACGGTATTCCTAGAGCTACAAGACTAATGGTGTATGGAATTAAGAAGGCTCCTCCTCCATTCTTGTAAGCAAGATAGGGAAAGCGAACGAATGAGCCAAACCCTATGGCAGCTCCCAATGATGCAAGAATGAATGAAATTCTTGAACCCCATGCTTGCCGCGACGTGTGGTTGGAATGTGATTCCAGTAATGGAGGAGAAGTCGATGAAGAGAAGTATTGTTGCGGCCGTGTTTCATGAGATGGCAATGGTTCAGCAATTGTTGTTGATTCCGATCTCATGGGATGATGAGCTTCTTCTTGATGATCACCAAATTTTGTAACGATCGGAGATGGAATGTGCTTCGTTGTCGAGTGGTGATTATCATGATGATGAGTGGTGGTCATCATGTGAGAGCTTTCATCAAAATCATTGACTGATTCCGAAGTGATCATCATCATGATGGAAGATTCTTCTTCGTCTGTTGGATCCGTCAACTTGCGGTCAACATGTTCGTTATCTTGTTGTTGATGGTGATGATGACGAATGATTACATTATGATGATGGGACATGTCGAGATTGTGATCCTCTTCCTCACGTCCAGGATTCGAGTGGTGTGAGGATGGAAACGACATTTTTTTGTAATCTGGGTGTTGTTGCCAAAGATTGTGTGGAACGATTTTCAGAGTCAAATTCCCGAAAATTCCAAGATTTCTATTCTACCTTCCCTGAATGAATGATCAGGAATTTTCTCTAAAATATTCATGAATCCTGATATGACCGCCCTTTGCTGATAAAGTTATCGAATAGATCTAAGCAAACTTAAGCACAATAGAGCGACAATGTGGATCAATTAAGGTGCCTTTGTTTCAGTTGGATACCTTGAAAATTTCAACATACAGATATCTCTTGGAATAATGATTCAGACTATGGACGCAATAACTTGTATTGTTGGTTTTACTTTGATGTAAGAACTGCCAAAAGTAAATTGGTCACGAAAATGACTATTTTACAATAGTTTTTTACTTTCCATGAAACCACAGAACAAAACAACCTAGTAATTTTCCTAGTAGAAGTGTTATAAATTAATGATTCAATTATCGTCGTTTGGAGGATGAGGGGAAGAGGGAGAATTATCTACATTTGGTGACTGTTTCTTTTTTTTTGAGCTAAGGCGAGAAAAGGTATACGGTTTAGCAACCAATGACGGTGGCGATTCCGGTGTGTTTGTTTCTTCAGAATTACTGCTACCACCTGGTGTGGAAGATGAGGCAGCATCTTTTCGTTTTCTAGTTCTCCGCCGCGTGGCAATATTTTCAGCTTGTTGGTCACTTGATGATGTTTGAGCGATGGTATCGCTAGTTAAACTCTCTGATTCGTTCTGAAATGGTCCATTGGTTGTGGATGGTTGAGGTTGGATTGTTTTTTGATGAAAATCTGTGAATGATGCTGGCGAGTGCACTTCGCCATGTTCCCTATTGTACATTTCAATTTCTGGTATATCCAAATGCTTCACTTGGTTATAAATTTCTTCCTCTCGCGCCTTAAATTGTTGTATAGTCTCCAATTTAAGCTCATATTTATCTTGTTTCCGTAAAGCATGAAATTTATCAGAGAATTTTGGTATGTGAGTTGATATATCAAATTCTTTCTTGCTCATCTGTTTCACTTGTTTTTCTGTCATATCTTTTTGCTTTGATGCATGATCTTGTTCCGATTTAAAAACTGATTTTAACTTGAGAAATTTGTCTTTGAGGTCATATAAATTTACAAGTCTAATCTCATTTTCAATTCTCGTCTCATGCTCTTTCTTCTTTCTATCTGTGTTGTACCGAGACTCCCACAACTTTTTTACAGATATAATATCATGCTCTTGTAATTTTACATTAAAAAATCTGCTTAAATCCATAACAGAAGCCGTTGAAAACCATGGAATCTTGCCATTCTTGCAAGCTCTATTCATGAGTGCAATGATACATTCGAAATCTTTTTTTGACAATGGATTCCTGCGTCCTGTATTGTATTCATTGAGCCACTCTTCGTCTTCGCTCTCCATGTTGTACTCGAGAGAAATATCAATTTTTCTATGACTATAGGTATCAAAATCTGCATGTAAATTTGGAGTTGGATTTAACATTAATGTTTCGTGGTCGTAATTCTCAGTGTTGGTATATTTCATATAGTGATGGGTTCTGCGAAAGCCCTTTTTCGCAGTATTATCTTTGGTCACTGTGAAATTCGGAACGGGAACATTGGTCAAATCTGCTCCCTTGTCCTCTAATTCCTCGAGCTCGGTAAAATCTCGATATTTCCGAGTGGCTTGTGTGCTATCTATGAGTGTCACGGTACCCGTACGTTGTTTTTCATCGGCTAACAATTGTAAATCTGCATCAGTTAATGAGTTGACTGTTACTGACAATCGGGAAATGTCAGAGTCTTGTTTCTTAGGACTTGATTTGTTGGCTGACATGGATTTGCTTTCTTTTACGGCTTGTGAAATTCTTGACCGTAGCTTGTTCAAGGAAATTAGATCTTCTGGTCGAAGAACGAGAAGCTTTTTCCATACGTCGAGTTTCCGAGGCCTCGACAGTGTGGCAGATGAAGGGGTCTGGGGAGTGTTGGCAACAGAAGGAGTGTTGGCTTCGCTAGTACCTCCTCGTCTGCTACGTGGTTGGGAGCGAGTTGGAGTTTTCGGCACCACTTCTTTTGCAGTGGGAATAATAGACTCTGTATCATTGTCGTCATCGCTCAACTCACGGTTTGCAGTACTGTTATTGTCTTCGGCTTCCTCATCATCGGATGACTGGGCAGATGATCGTTTTCTCTTGTTGTTGCTAACTGAAGTACTTGATCTGACTGCAGCCGACTTTTTCTTTGACGTTTTTTTCTTGTTTGATGTTTTCCTTGATGGTTTTGTTTTGGTATCACTATCAGCAGCAGTAACATCATCGTCCTCACTTAACTCCATAGAAGAGGTGGATTTTGATGATGAATGTTGTTCTGGAGGCTTAGAATCCTCGGTTTCTGATGACGATAGGTTGGCTTGGCTTCCATTCCGTTTTTTAACGGGTACTTCCTCTTGATCATCATCATTGTTCCTATGTATATCCAACGTTGATGGGTTTTGATCAGAAGATGAATTCACTCGATTGTTTTTGGATGAAGAATTGATATCATGGTCCGAACCCGAGTCATCTGAAAGCTCGTATTGAGAAGACGTAGATTTAGAATTTCTGTTATTTGTTGTTGTTGTTGAGAGAAGAGGAGGAATTGTTGTATCATCATCACTGATCGGCATGTTCGATGTAGAGGAAGCTGATAACTCCTCTTCGTCCTCTGCCGCAGCACTGCGAGCATGATTAGTTTTTGCCTTCTTCTTCTTTGGTGTTTTCCTTGGCATTTTTTGCGTCTTCTTCTTTCATGATAGGATGACGACGGGAAGGTCTTTTGGTCGTGAACAATATTCCATGCTGCTGCAACAAGGGTTTGCCTTCGTACCATGATTTAATGAGTGTTGGTGTTTAGCTATTTTTACGGGCAGATCTGTACGCGTTGCTCATTCTTTGTTTCATTTCATTCGAGCTCGAACGTTTAGATGAAAAAGCGTACTCTGTGCAATTCAATAGTGAACCAACTTGTTGTTGAACTCTCATTTGGTTCCAGTTTAAGGTTTCCCCAAATAAGCACCATAATAACAATGTTCCATTCGTATTCGATACAATTCATCACTATACTCCAAAACAAAACCATTATTGTTGACAGCTTCAATTACAAGTTCTTCATCTTTCTTCAATTCTTCACTTGCATTCCTCAGTGCATATCCATCCCGCTTCACTGCTTCCAACATCAATTCCTTGTCGTTCTTATAATAGGGATAAAAGGATCGACAAATACCTGCACCAAGTCTTATTGCTTTTTTCAAAAATTCTCTGTCCGTGGTGTATTCTTGTGGTAAATATTTCAAAAGATCTTTACATCCTAACTGAACTATCTGCTGTACAAATTCTTGGTCACTCAAAAGCTTGTTGGAAACGTATCTCAAAACAGGCTTTTTTCTTTTGACGATATCTAAAACAATTTCACGA